AGATAAAACTAAGACTAAAACCAGGGAGCGTGACTTACCTTGTGCATAATGAGACCTTGTTTGAGTTGTACACAGCCTGCGGCGCCCTGACCCACTTCCCTCAGTTCAGCTCCACATCTGCTCCAGCACCAGTCCTCGGCTGTGACAGCGGCCCGGGGCGGCCAGCAGCACCCACGGGCCACGCTGTCAGATCCCCGGCGCCGAGATGCACAGAGACCGTGAAGAGAAAAGGCCTGCCGGACCTCCAGCTCACAACCCAACAGCCTCAACAACAACAACAACAACAACAACCACCAAAAGAAATCACGCAAATCCGCCGAGACGTGCTAAATTGAACCGCCGGTCCAGCACACGGTTGGCTTTGCGGACTAATTAACCGCTTTTATTTGAGGCATAGATGTGAGCAGACACACGCGTACAGTGCCAGCGACACGGCAAGCGCTGCACACACACACGCACGCACACACACGCACACGCACCCTTGGGTGCTACAGCTCATGTTTCTCCTCAATTATTCCACCCCCTGCCCTCTCTCCTCCTCATAATCTGACTAAAGCCGGATCCGTGTCCTCTAGATATTTAGAAGCCGGGCCTTGGTGCCAAAACATGTAACCTTTCCTCCTCTTTCAAGTGGGGAGCAAACAGGGAGTTCAGAGGGGGCAGGGGGGGGTGAGGAGGAGTGGGGGGGGGGTGGCTTTACTGCGTTGACCCCGTGATTTCCTCTCAGGGGTTAGACAAAGTTGTCGAATTGAGTTTGGAGACGCTGGTGAGGAGAAAGAGAGGAAACTTGCAGAGACTATTGCTATTAAATTGCAATTAGGATTGATTCCTTGACCCGGCAAACAGGCCCTCGGGATTTTGAATCAAGTCTTTATCTCGGCTAATTGCGTTGTAATGGCTCAAAAATAAAGACTGAAGCGTCTCCACACCCAATCGTGTCACGGATTTGCCCAGAGCTCGTCGGCTCATAAGAGCTCTCAGAATTACAGAGAGGTTTTTGAGACGTTTTGGACTCTTGAGACGTGCGCGATCAGAACAGAAGCAGGCACACGTTGGCGAAAGGTGGAACCGTATCTCTCTTAGTGCTTTAACAGCTCCGGGATGAAGAGGACCTGCCTGCAGGTACAGACGCCCGCTGTGGGCGGGGCCCACCACGGGGTTCATTCCGGAGCCTCCTGGCATTGGCCCCTAATGATGTGTAAAGGGGCCTCCTGCGCCCACTCCTAACCCCGGGACCTCCTGCTAATCACCGTGGCCACTAATGAGATGGAGAGACATGAAGGGGCTCGTTAGAGGACTCTCCCTATCATGCCGGCCTATTATTAGTCACTTACCAAATCATTAGTGTCTAAACTGCGATTACGCTTCAAAGCTGGCAGACAAAGTGGGAGACATTCATATATAATAATATATATACTCATTATTTACAACAAAGGGCAGGCGGAGAAACGGAAAACATTGTTTTCCCCCTAACAATCCGGGATGAGCGCTGTGAGACACGAGCCGTTTGTCCGTTTGCTTCTTTTATGATTTCAAATGGTCTTTATTACAGGACGCCAGCAGCCTTTGGCGTGCAGCGCGTGGCGGAAGACACGCCCTTCCGTCTTTTTAAGAGTCCAGAGGTTGGCTTAAGATGTGCTGTGGATGGCAAAGCGCAATCTTATATATACGCGCACACACACACAACCACGTTTAATCAAACGCCAAGACGTATCAAGCAATAAGGCAGAGGAGAGGAGGCCCCGGGGGGCTTTTTACATTGTTTGTTGTAAAATAATCACACAAACAATTCCCATCAAGTTCCACACACATCTGTGAGAGCAGGTCTCTACAGAGTGTCTGTGCTTGTTTCGTAGTCAGGGGAACGTGCATTTAAACAATGCAGGAGAGAATGAAAAGCCAGAATAATGGCTGTGAGGCTCCGCTAGCACGTCATCATGCCAACATTTGATATTAAGCACTAAGACCACAGCTTAGGCCGATGAGAAGGTTGTTGGTTTTGCAATTATTTAGACACAAATCAAAACATTGGATGATTTTTTTTCAGATGGGGGTGCTGGATGAGACATCAGAGGATCATCAGGATTCATTAGAATTACTCCGGCCCATGAACACTTGTGCCAGATTTATTGGCATGAACATCACACCTGTTGCACACTTGCTACAGACTACGAGGTCTTAAAATACAAATTTTATTTACAATTTAAAACAAACATTTAAATCGGCATACAACAAAAACACCCTTACCATTAAAAAAAAACAATCAATCTATTTACATGATAAAAGTTTTTAAATGGACCTCCTTCAGAAGGTCCAGATTAGGTCAAGTATGGTGTGGCACACCTCTGTTGGTGTAACCACGGGAGAACGTGAGGAACAAGAGGGGCCTCAGTGGTCCGCTTTAGCCTGCCACCTCAAAGCAGCGTAAACATGTAAACACACAAGTATCTGTATTTATTAAGTATAAGTTATGTGTGGAGCGTCCACGAGGCGCCTCGGAGGTCTCGCTAACTTGTGAAATCCTGAATGCGGCTGCACAATTCTCGCCTTTCGTCTGCTGATCATCATCACTCAGCGGGTGGTGATGTAACCTCAGTGGTCCAGGAAGTTGAAGACGCTCCTCTGGGTGCCTTCAGTCGGTCTTGCCAGTCTGTCCTGCTTGCAAACCCGCTTTGCTGCTGGGTTCACCTCTTCCACCGCCCCCCTCTTCTTCATCGTCTGAGGAGTAAACACATGTAAAGTTAGAATGGAACAAATAGTAAAAAAAACACAGGAAGTCCATGATGACTCTGGTGTCAAAAGATACTTGGAAAAAACTACAATAACTTCTGTGTTTGTGCTCAATGGGATCAGACAGAAACTATGGGCCTTTGGCTCCGCCCAGTGTCCTGAATCTAGAAGACACCCGAATATAACCCCCCCCAAATAACTCACCAGTCACACTCATATGAACATCACAGTGAGTAATCTCTTTTTGAGAAGAACACAGGGCAGTCAGTTGTATGAGCCTACTCAAGGTCAGCGGCAGGTGCTCATGTGGCACTTTCCACGTATTTGCAAAACATTGTCATTTACCCTTTAACTCATTAAGAAACATTTATCCAAAAACTATTTCTGATCAAAGCAGGTGAGGGCCAGAGGCCTGGCAGGGGTCACATATTGAGCGTCCTTCTGATCCAGCGGCAACACATCTCATCTGTACCTTGGGAGCGTCCGAGGTGGACTTGTCCTTCTCAGGGGACAGAGTTTGGAACAGGAAGCCTCTGCTGTTTCTGGGCGCCAGGGGATTCGCATCGGAGATGGAGGCCAGCTTCTGGAGGACGGAGTGAGGCTGACTCAGCAGTGATCCTCTCCTCACCTGGAGAGAAAATTCTCACATTGATCTTTGACGTTGTTTATTGGTTTCCCCCCAAAATGCCAAGTATGTTTAAGGTTAATCGCCGATCCAATTTGAAATCAAAATGAAAACAACGCAGGTCATAATGGTTATGTCTACCACTTACCCTGTCATTGTAATTCACAGGGAAGCCTAAATGTTCCCAAACCTGCCACCTTATTAGGACACGGGTACGCTCTCAAGTTCCTCCGCTCGCTATGACCTTCACTGTTAAATACTCCTGACCCGCTTTGTTCAAGTTAACACTATGTGTTAAAATCGCTTTACTGACACTCAAGTCATATTCAGGGTAAGGTTGTCACAATAGCAACATGATTACTTTGATCCAATACTTGCCATAAATACAATACTGGTATATTTATCTAGAATAGTATTAAACATCTGCATCTTCCCTTATTTTAATGCCAGTTGTTGGAACACAAACTAAAAATGAATATTAGTATCAGCCTAAGGCAAGATATCAATCAAAACCACACGGTGCCATCATAGCGTTGGTAACATACGGGTACCTGACTAGTATTGATACACCGTGCAACATTAATTCAGGCACTTGTTACTACAAAAAGAACACTAGCAGTCCAACATTATTACTCGTTGATCCCTGTACACAAGTGATCCAAACCGTGAGGGGGATCCCAACGGATCAGGAATTGATCCGTGACAAGATATTACCAAGAAAAAAAAAGAACCTTTATTGTTAGTTGAAAAGATCCGGCATACAGAATCTAAAACCTAAAAATAGAAATAACACCAATCTAAGTCACTATTTTGGCAGTGGTCTACCTGCAGGGGCTGCGATGGTCTCTGGAAGGGGTTGAGGGCCGGTGTCGTCTTCTCTGGCTGTGCGCCCGCAAGGGACTCTGGTAAGGAAAGTTAGTCACTGAATTATTCATACTCAAATCCTTTCATCGGGATACACAGATGGAAAATACTTTAAAACTGTGCTTCAAAAGTTAGATATTTCAGAGCAGTTTGTTGGCTATTTTATGTCTTCAGTTCATCAAACACCATTTAAATCCGACTGAGGTCTTGTTGCAGAGCGAAATGTGTCTTTTGGACCAGAGTGGGTAAAGTCGCCAGTAACAAAAGCTACTAATTGTTACACACATACCACTTATTCCTGGTCACATTCCCTTTTTCCCCCCAGGAACTAAAGAATGACTCAACTGTGTGGAAATGACTGTTCAGGGGAAAATATTGGTCACGGCATCAGAGTCAAGGTCGCTCTAGTTTGCTGGGACACGTGCCAGTGTTTTGGTGCGGTTAGTGTGCGCTCGTGTCTGCTTCATCTCTAAAGCTCTGTAGCACATCAGGTGAAGAGAGTCACATTTGAGACACTACGATGAGATTTCCTCCTTGCAAAACATGTTGGCGATTACGTCTGTTCACTCTAGAGGTCTATGAATGGAACCGTCAGCAGGCATCTGCACGTCGGGTGTTTTATTTGCGCTCATGGATCCGTCTCGCAGACAGACCTTTTCTCTGCAGAGTCTTGGCGGTCAGTTTCTTGGCCAGCTTCATAAAGCGACTGTCTTCCTCTCCGACCTTCTCATCATCTGCATCCAAATCTTCCCCTTTCTTGGCTTTCTGCTCAGACTGAGAGGAGATGCACAGAGAGAGAAAAGGTATGAAGACAAAATAACATCCTGTAAATGTCCAAACTGGGGACAACTCTCTAAGATGGCGTAGAATTTTAAAAATAAATAAATAAATATCAGTCAATACTGGACTAGACTTAGTGTTGATGGCTCCTCACTGTTACCTGTGGGCAAGGAGTCTAAAGCTACCTGTTCTCTGAGCCACTGTTCCCTCTCCAGTCTCTCCTTCCTCCTCTGGACCTCAGACAGGTCCACCTCTTCATCTTCCTCCTCATGCTCGCCCTCTGCCCCCGTGCTGTCCGCGTTGAAACCATCATCTGGGAGGAAGAATCCAAAAGGAGACTCAAGAGACGGTCGGGGTGACTTTGAAGGACGCTTGGTTAAGTTTGCTCACATACATGTATACTTAAATAAACACTTATTATTATTAATGTCTAAAACACTGTCAAATTCTCAGTTAGCTACTGCTTCATGGCACAAACTCACCAATGTTTTTCCAGCGGAAGCGGCGAGCTCGTCCTGGTCCGTCAGAGTGCAGGTCGCCGTCGGCGAGGTAGCGCTCCTGATAGAGCCTCAGTTGCCGCTTGTCGTCGTCCATTATCTGCTTCCTGTAAGAACAACATCTTCATCTCCCCGCTCCATTCCAGAGGCAAGGCGTCCCGCTGGAATTATCCCGCATTGATGTTCCCGGTGTGATGGCAGTAACTCCCATTCAGGCGATGCACTCACATGTGGATCTTGTTCACTTGGTCTTGCAGCTCTTCGTCAGAGGGAAGCTCCTCGAGGAGCTCCTCCTCCTCGTATTCGCTGCCTCTATCGTCGTCCTCGTCGTCGCCGTCCATGTCGCTGCCGGACAGCTCAGCCTCCGACTCCAGGTAGTCTGTCAAGCGCCTGTGTGCAGGAGACAGGTAGCCATATAACCGCAGTGCTGCAGCCGGGATTATGTGATGATTATGTGTGTAGTATTCCTCCATACGCACCAGGTGTAATTCTACACTTACATTCTCTTCTTCTTCTTCCTCTTGACCTGCTGTGATGCAAAGACTCCCTGCATCTCCTCCTCTTCGATCTCGTTGTCCTCGTCAGCATCTGCGTCCTCCTCCTCCTCGGCGTTTTCCTCTACACCATCTTCATCCTCGTCCTCCTACAAAGCCCACAATCCCCTTGTCATTTCCATCATAAACATGTAGATCCAGTTAGTTAAACTTCAGAGACAATCTTACCTGTTCACTGAGACTTTCCACATCTGACAGAAGCCGGAATTCGCAGTCATTTTCTTCCTCCTCCTCCTGTTGCTCTTCTTCCTCTGGCTTCTTTTTACTTTATACAGAGAAATGACTATGAGAACCTTAAATTGCATAGTTTTGTGAAGAGCCATAAATCATTCGGATTAGGATTCTTTCAGGTCTGTTAACTGTACCTGTCTGGTGCCGACGAGGCCGTGTGAGCAGAACCTACAATTGTCGGAAAAGGAGACAGTTTTTAATAACATGTAACTAGAAAAGTGGGGAAAATGATTTTATAATACACTTTTGTTGTTTGGGTAAAAAGTTTGCTATTCATGTGGAAATCTACAAATATCCTACAATGAAACTTTATTTCAATGGACAGTTCAATTCCAGATCTTCGAGGTTCTTTGGTTTATGAGGCCCTTATTGACGAGTTGTAGCTGTATTTATTTCTAGTATTTCTATGTTTTTGATTTAAAACAGAATACGGTATACAGGTGGAGCAGCAAACAGTTGTTTACCTGGACTAGAAAACCTCCCAGAGCACAGGCCCAGCAGCTGATCCATGGTATTATCAGACTCCTCCCGCTGCTCCTCTCCTGCCTGCGTCGGTGGAAACGCTCCGGAGCACAAGCCGATCAGCTCGTCCTCCTGCGACGCTCCGAGGCATCCTGAACCCGCGCCGCCGGAGCGGCTCTCCGCTGCCCCGAATCCCCCAGAGCAGAGACCCAACAGCTCCCCCATGTTGGCATCCATTGCATTCTCATCCAGGCTGTCCAGGATCAGCTGTCTCTTGTGGGAGGGAGGCCCAGCGGAGCGCGGACCCACGTTGAGGAAGCCGTCTGCGTCCAGTAACTGCGAGTGGGTGTCATCCTCCAGGGAGAAGCGACCCTGGGAGTCCCCCCCGTGGCTGGGGCCAGAGGTCGCTCTGCCAGAGGGCCCCGAATCTGCTCCTGGGGAGGCAGGCGCATACAGGTCCTGGGAGTCCTCAACGGGGAGGCAGAGGGACGGCTCAGACAGCTTTCCAGAGCTCTGATAGGAGGGGAAAGAGATGACTGGTTACTATACGATAATATAACCATAGTTTTAGTGAAAAGGGGGAGAACTCAATTCCCTGCTGATGATATTTAGGGGCTCCAAGTATTGTATTTTTATATCTTACCTTGGAGGCAGAGCCGAGGAAGCTGGGCTTGAATGGAGAAGGGGAACGGAAGATGGAGTAGTTGGAGATGCTCCTCCCCGCCGAGCGCTGGTGACTGACGGGCTGGTAGGAGGTGATCATTGACCCGGCCAGCTCAAAGCTGCTGTTGTGGCTGCCGTCCTTCCCCAAGTACAGATGGTCATCGTCTTCTGGAGACGGAGAAGACAAGAGCGTGAGCAAAGTAGAGAGCCTCTAGTCAAACGGAGCACATTCAAGCGCTTTGACTCCTACTGTTGTCACTAGTTGAAGCATCATCTCTCATGAATAACTAATCAAGACTACACTTCAGTCTGATTCCAGCGTACCGGCCTTCCACTCTACGCACCCTTATTGCTGCTGCTGTCCTGTCCAGAAGGACCAGACCGCCTGATGCCGTCACTGAAGAAGGAGAACAGTGCGTGTGAAGCTCAACTACATTTACACACAGTGCATACAAATATGTAACAACAACAACAATGTACGGTTAGGTATTTAGTGGCTCAAAAATAATATATCATGTATTTTATGAACAGTTTTACCCCTAAAACAACATGGCAGAGCTTGAGTAAGTAACACCAAGTCAACATTTCATCCAGGTGCATTTAAAAGGAACTCCAAACTACACTTACCCGGTGCGAGAGCAGGAGCTGCTGGGGAACAGCATGAGTGTACCGTCTGTATGAATCAGGTCCGAGGGTTGGTTCAGTGCTGGAGAGTGACTCCTGATTCCCTGAGCTACGCTGCCTTCCTCATCGTCCTTCTCTTCTTCGTCGACACCATCACCTCCCAGTAAGTCATCTATGTTCTAAAATAAATTTAAAAAGCAAACATTGTGCCGTGAGAACAATGTACAAATCACAATGTACAAACAATGTGATCGCTCCAAAGCGGCGAGGAAACTAACGTCTCCTTACCTCTTCCTCCTCAGACTCATCGGTCATCTCGTCCTCCTCCTCGTCCTCGTCGCCACAGTCCTCGTTGTCGAGGCGATTCAACTCGGCTCTGCGCACCCTCTCCTCCTGCCTCCGTTGGGCCATGGCGAGCTGCAGGCGCTGCTTCAGAGTCAGCAGCTTCTCTCCTGTGACAAGAGGGGACAGAAGGAGTTAACGGTGTGGCCGACAGAGGTCAACGAGCCTCGACTCCGCCGGGTCTCACGTGAGTATCCACACCTGGTTTGGTGGCCACGGGCTCCTCCGCGCCGTCTTTGACGGTGACAGTGAGTGAGTCGGAGCGCAGCTCCTCCTGGCCAGACCGAGCGCGGTCTTTGCGGACGATGTGGAGCTGCATGGTTCGCTCACCCTGAGGACGTGTGGGTGCCTTGACGTGGCGGAGGTAACGCTCCTTCAGGGCCACCACGCCTGGTTGAAATACGAGAGATCCAAAAGGTAAGTAAACTCTGTCAATCTGATTCATCTCGGCTTGTGTCCTAGAACTTGGATATCATCCGCAAGACCGCAGTTCTCACCTCGGTTGAGCGGCGGAGGCTCGAGCTCCACGAAGGCTCCGTCGTCTGGACACAACCGAGCGACAGGCGGGGGGTCCAGCCCAAGCCTCCTCAGTCGGGCCAATTTGTCCTCCTTGGCTTTGGTGGGTCGCCGCGCTGAAGGCACAGCTGAGACTGGGTCACAGCCCCCACACTGGGTGGCTAAAGGCTCCCCCAAAGGGCCGGACACAGGCTCTTTCTGGAGGGGTTCGGAGTGACACAACGCCGCAGAGTGCCTTTGCTCCGAGGGTGCCAGAGGCGTCTCCTCTCCAGAATCCGGAGCGGGTCCCGACGCTCCTAGTGCGGTGACGGTATCCTGCAGGCTCTCGGAGAGGTAAAGCATTGGCCCGGACTCCAGGTCGGGATCTGGGACAGCTGTTGCCTTTGCGAGGCTCTCCTGCTGCGGGGACGAGGTGGCGGCGGGCTGAGGTATGAGGAGGATCGGATTGGAAGACAGATCAAGAGAGGAAGAGGAGTCCTGCACGGCGGCTGGCTGAGGAGGCTCACTGGGGGGAGGAGCCGTCGGCGTCTCCAACATCATGGCTGTATACTTTGTGGATCTAAAAAGAAGATAATCATTCAGTCCTATTCATTCATTTGTCTATTAAGGAAGCCTTAAAACTTGGTGTGTGTGTGTGTGTGTGCGTGTGTGTGCGTGTGTGTGCGTGCGCGCGTATATGAGAGGGATTGAGACTCGATGTTAATTAAATGTGACGTTAAACATCTCAAGCCATTAAATGGTGGCTTTGGTAGTTCACTTGTCCTTCAGATGATCTGATTTTACAGGGAGAATTGTGACTATATTTTGGCCAATGTGGGCGGCTGTTGCTCTAGAGCAGGAGTACGTTATGTTTGTCTTTACTTCAACAGCGCCATGGCAGGACCCTCTGGCCGGGCTTTCTTTCTGAAGAACTGGTCGATGGTCTTTGGCTCAGGGAGGTGGTACGGCAGGCCCAGTGTTGACTCTAAGACAAAGACAAACAGAGGTGTCAAAGATTGTCTTGGTCTTTGTAGCACGGATGAAATGAGCATCGAATTATGAATAGAAATAGTTTGGACATTGCAGCTTTAGAAGTTGTTAAACTGACCTCTGACCAGCCTCTGTGACTCGCTGTGGAGCTGCCTCATTGCCTCTTTGCTGGCGCGCGCAGCTTTCCTCTCCTGAAAACATCACAACACAATTAAATCAATTAACACAAAAAAGCATTTAGAATACACCTAAGCATTTTGCCAGTGCATACCACACGCTGGGGTTTCTCTGCTGCATCTTCATCATCTTCCTCCTCCTCTCCTCCATCATCATCATCATCATCATCATCCAAGACCTGATCCTGCAGCAATATTTAAAACACATATCACACAAAGGCCTGATGGGACAACATCACTCACCAGCCTTTTCACAAAGTGTCATAAGTAACTTCTGTTGCCAGTATTATTTGTAAGGTGCTTGTTCTGACCCTTAATATTGCAAACAGTGATCATTATTTTTTAGGTACCTTGTGCTTTTTCATCTTTTGTTTGACAGCAGCTCGGATGGCCTCCAGAGACTCTTCCTCCTCGTCCTCGTCGCCCAGACCAGTGTCAAACAGGTCTGTGTCTCCCAGCAGACACCCACTGTCATTGAGAGCACGGGGGAGAGCCACGTTCTGGGGAAAAGGGTGCCAAGTCATAATATGATCCACGTCGAGGAATCTTATTCTTTAAAAACAGTTTGATTTGGCTTAGCTTTACATTTCATATTCACCATGTGGTATTTTGTGTAGATGTTATTTTTGTTTGTTTCATAATTTGGCACTAACCTCATTATTTTCAGAGAGCTTCTCCTTCTTCTTCTTCAATTTTTCCACAGCTTTGCTCCGTTTCTCCTTCTTCTCCCGGTGCCTCTGGCTCTTCTCCCTCTTCTTCTGTTCCTTCATCGAATTTGCCTCCGCCCTCACCTCCGCCTGTTGCTCCTCCATTCCTCCACTGTGTGCGTGCTCCAGCTCGCTGTCGTCACTGTCAATGGGAGCGTGGCTTATTCTCTTGCTCTTCTTCTGTTCCCGCCGGTCTTTCCTCTCATCCTTCTCTTGAGCCTTTACAGCCTCCATCTCCTCCCCGCTGGAAGCAGATAAGTGCAGCATTTCGGCCATGTCTGCACTGTTCTCCGCCTCCTCCTCGCTGTCACTGTCTCTGATGGCGATACGGCGAGGCTTTCTGTGAACTGTGATGTCTTCATCCTCGTCAGAATCTGAAAAAGAAATTACTATTTAAAAAACAAGGCACTTACTTTTTAAAATATCAATTATTTTGACCACCGTACAACTTTTTATATTAACACCAGAGAATTTTGTGTATCACTTTCTGACATTCAAATAATAATTGGGCTGATGCACCTGCTGTAAGCTCTGTGATGAAGATGAAGCTAAAAACACAAACAGTAGAATGTGAATAGAACAAGTTCCTTGTATTTGCAGTGACATTAAAACTACTGCAACCCTCATTTAAACAGTGTCACCTGCCCTGGATCATCATCCATTGTTTGGTTACTTCACCTGGAAGCTCTTCCCTGCTGATTGCCGTCTCCTTGCCAGTCTCCTCTGCCGGAGAGCCCATCCCGCTGTCTGAATCGCTCTCCGTGGCGGTTTGGGCCAAAGCCGGGAGTGCCGCAGTCTGGGTACAAAAACACAAAACACATTTTAAAAATCACACAGTATAGTCTGGGGGACCTGCAGTCTTTTTTGGAAGATGTCTCTTTACTTGGGGGTGGATCATCATGCTTTGCGTAGTCCTACTGTAAACGTAGTTTAATGATATCTAAAAATGGGCAGAGTATTAACTGCATGTTGAGGTGAGGCAAAACTCGAGGACTGTCCAGCTCGCTGCATGACCTTCACTAGGTCGCCAAAGACAGGGCGTTTGTCTTTATTCGTCAGAAGAAACCTCGAAAACATAGTTAATGGAGTTAACATGTCACTCGATCTGGCTGCTTAAGTCACCCAAATGTTGGATGTTAAACGACATTAGTGGCACATTGAAATAAACCAAACAATGAGCACGAAGGCGGCCATCGCTTCATTTCAATGATTGCTGTTAACTTTGTCGGTCAATTAGCGTTACATGCTATAGAAAGTTTTTTTTTTATAAAAACGTAATCAATACCCCGAGATCACAATCTGCTTAGATAACGTATAAAAGAGCAACATGACTCATTTGAGTCGATGTGTAGAATGGATCGATGGGACCAGGCCAAGACTTCAACCATCACAGCTGGCTAAACCGAAGCTAGCGCGCTAGCTAAAAGGCTACCGCTAACTAACGCGATTTCCACAACTACGTTAGCACCTTTTTTTAACGACGGAAGACTACGGACCTTCACGGTCGTTCCCATGTAACTAACGACATTTACGCGAGACTGATACTTGTCCCGTGAAAGAGACGTCAGATTTCCAAAATAGCGACGGATACCTAAAAAATGTCCTCACCTGCTGTTGAGAAACGACCAGGCTCATCTTTGTCCGCCGGGCTAGTTTACGCTCTTTTTGTCAAATAAAAACTCGCGGACACAACGCTTCATCGAACTCCAGCAGACAAAATACACCTCAAAAGACAAATGTCTGCGTGTCAACGGCTATTTCATAGCGTTAAAGCATATTTAGAAACCGCTTAGCTGGGCTCTTTCTCTTCCTCCCGCCTGTTCCATACACACCGAATTGAATTTTGGATCTTTCGCGCGCCGTGACAGCTGGCCGCAGCTTTTCTTCACCGAGCTGTCAATCGCCGTCTCCTCGCGATCCTATTGGTCTGTAGCTGGAGTTTGTAGCCACCCAGTATGACGACATGGCTCGGTGTGAGCTCATTTTAAATCCCGGGAATGCTCAGGCGGGCGGGGCTCAGAGATTTTGCTTTTCGGTACAAAGTGGGCGAGAGTGAGAAGAATGCTCAATCAAACTGAATGTTGCCGGTTAAGCCTAGTTTATGCTTCTGCGTTTTCAGAGCGACGCAGACGCAAGACCCCCTTGAACTTTTGTCGGAAGAAATGCGTAAATATGACCGCCTATACAACCCTTCATTGGCGGGTTGTAGGAGCGGGTTGGATTCACGGAGAGCTCCACAAACGCCGGTTTGCCGGCGCACAAAGTTGTGGAGGAAAATACGGGACAAATGTGTCCGCGATGAAAAGCAGCAGTGGCGATGCACGGGGCAATAACGTATATGATAAATAAGTAAACAAACCAACGACTTCCACACACAAAGACGTCACTCTCTAGGTGACTCCACCTGTTGTTCTGGAGGTGAATTGCTCTGCAACACACGCACGCCTTTAGAACCATGACTTGAAACGAGTGCGTCGACGCAACGACGCCGACGCAGACGCAGAAACGTGCGCCAGCCTTCAGTCCACCCGGGAAAGGGCACCGAAGCGACGGTGCACCTTCGTCGGACCTCGCGCTGTGAGGAAGTTACTAAACAGTAAGTCAATGAAATACAATGTCAAATAATTATTCAGATAAATATGCAGCGTTTGCTGCTGTACGTCATTTAACACAGCTGTTCATCTTATACTGTTTAAACATTATATACTGTAAACAGCCAGCTATAAATGTCTTTAGCTGTAAATACTAACACAGTATATTACATTATATTCTGTATACATATTATGTACGTACTGAGAGAATAGTAAACTATAAACGCCGTTAGCCATAAATATGTCATGTCTATAAATGCATTTAAGTTAGTGTCACGCCACATGTTAGTTTATAGTTGTGTTTGACTGCATTAATTACTATTTGCATATCACAGATGTTACTCAACTAATAAATGAGGATCTTGTAATAGATTAAACCACCAGAATTGTTTAAAGTCAGTCAAATGTAAACACATTAATGCCTCAATGATTAGGATAATATATGATATATTTGGCATCACGACTAGTTTTAATCTTTCATTAAAGTTCATTTTGATGCTAAGTCCCTGAAGCCCATGTACGAGGGACTGGCACAGCGCTACAGCCCCGCAGGCATAGAAAAGACACAATACCAGTGGGTAGACAGGTAAATTATATCAATATTTTTACCATCATTGGTGACACAAACAGCTCATAGTCTTAAATTACCTTTCATTTTTTTTCAGTTTAATTAAAGAAAAGCCCTTTGCATTCAATTTTATTTTGATGACCATATACACTGGAGCACACATGGTGGTCTATATGACTGCTGTCACATTGATGGCTTTCCTTTTATTTTTCTTTCAGGGATTGCTGTGTTGCACTCAAGGGGGCAGAGTCGTTTGCAGGAGAGCATCTGAAATGGGATTCTTGGAGAACAACAGATGCAATTATTGCCGATGTCACTTCTGGTAACCTCCGAAACACATGTGCTTCAAGATCACATATAGATGTAGATCACACAAATGCAAACATTTATATCAAGCTAGACTTGTTTCACCGCATGAGGCAGTTCCTCCGTGAGTGTGTGTCGGAGCATCACGTCCTGTACAGTTCCTTTGCTCAGTTCCTCTGGACTGGGACAAGAACAACAGCAAGACAGATCACACCCAGGCCCCGAATCCACCTCCTCAGAGTGATCCACTCGCTACGCAGTCGGAGGTTCCTCTGTCATCCTCACTGGCACCATCAAGGTTGTTCCAGTTTTCTCCATGCCCCCCTGCCGATTCTGCTGTGAAACCAGATGTGAGTCCCAGAACAACCCCAGGGCCTCGGGGAGAGCCAGGTAAACATCTCACACACGGACATAGTGATTGACAACATCAGCGCTAGCTAACTTTATTTTTATGGATAGCGTAATACATTTGTCACTTTTCCATTTTTTTTACAAGATGTGAAAATATATTTAGGGTGTTATTGGATAAACATTTACATACAAATACCAGTCTTTCATGAGCTTTTAATGAAAGTTTATATTTATTATACAAGTATTCGATTCTATAGGTCAGAATGACTTACTGTACTTCATCTTTTGTTCCTGTAGAAACTTCACGTCCGCCGTCGCTGGCAGTTATCGACCAGCTGCTCAACAAACACCGTGAGCAGAAAGACATGCTGAAGCTTGTGGACCAGGACTACGCTGCTCTAGTTCACAACTCCTGCACAAACCCCAACAGCATGCTCCACCCGACAGCAAAACTACATATCGTACAATATGTAAAGCACCTCAGCAAATTGTTGAACACCAGTTCCTCTTTAAACGTCAGTCCAGAAAAACTGCAAGAGAGGCTGAAACTCTGGTCGCAAGTGTCGGTTCTGTAAGACGGAACTGAAGCAGGGCCCAAACAGTCGTCACATTCACACTGGGTTCCCTGGAGTTACAGGGAAGTACATTTTCTGCCCCACTAAAATCTTTTCACTATGCAAAGACCAGGGCATGGACAAGGAAATGACATGGAGAGAGTTCCAGGGGTCTGCTTTCTTTGACAAATTAAAATAGAGATGGGAGGCTGAAATGAGGAAAGAAGAGAAATAATAGGGGGAGTTCCATCTAGCATTTTACGTCCAATTATTTGTAATATTCATGTTGTAATTAGTTTATATATTGGTTTCTTGCTTTTGTGACTTTGTACATTAAAATATTATCTTTTTATTTATTCTTTATATTTGGTTTTATGGTTCATTAGTTTACTTATTTAGATGTCTTTATTTCTGTAACATTTCTGTTTGTATAGGACTATACAAATCTGTTGATCTATCTGTGTTCAACATTTACTGTCCAAGTTAATAAATATATTTCAATTGCTAATGTTTACATGTGTCATCAATGAGTGAATCACTGTAGTGAACAGTAAAATAAGTTGGTCTGTAAGTACAATCTAGTGATAACCCGTAGACAGCAGATTGGGGTAAACATTTCCTTTATTTGTTATTTGAGATGGATGAGGTAGGATGGAGTAGGAGGTGAAGGAAGGTGTACTCACTGGTGTCCAGTCTCAGGCACGTTGATGTTGACGTCCTGGATGGTCTCCTTTTTCCTCTCTTCTCTCTCCTATTTCTTTGTCTCCTTGTCCTGCATCTTGCGCCTCATTTTGTCCATCTCCGTCTGCCGGTCTTGCATCCGTCTCCCAAAAATTTCTTTTTTTAAGTCGAGGCAGATGTTTTCAAGGACTGTTTTGTCATCCTCTAATTCTTGGATCCTCGTGATAAGGATCCGATGTTCTTTGGGGATGGTATTCTCCGTTTGTTGGATCTTAGAGATCAGGCACAAGTCAGTGAAACCACTGCTCGTGACCGTCTCGTGGTGGGTCTCCTCTTGGCTCTTTTTTAAAGCAGCCAGAGAATCCCTCTGGGTCTTCAGCAGTTTGTGTTCTGCTTCCAACTGCTGCCAGGTCTCGTTGTTGACCCTGAGTTCAGCACTTTTGACAGAAAGTTTTTTTGTTGTCTCTGTGAGCTTCAGAGATAAACCCTCGTTCTGCCTGATAGTCTCATCCAGAGCCTCTGTCTTGATCTTTAGCAGTTTGTGTTCTTCTTCCAACTGGTGGTTGTTGGACTGCTGCTTGTGCAGCTCCTCTTGAAGAGAAATGTTGGTGGAGAGTAACCCTGTTACTTTAGACTCCATGGACTGTTGTTGGTCATCCAGTTCCTTGAATGTCTTTTCCTCCAGATCGTCATACTTCTGCTGCCAGGTCTCGTTGTTGACCTTGAGTTCAGCAGAGAGTTGTTCGGCGTATTTAAAGAGCTTCAGAGACAAACTCTTGTTTTCCCCGATAACCTCAGCCAGAGCCTCTGTCTTGCTCTTTAGCAGTTTGTGTTCAACTGTTGGTTGTTGGCCTGCTGCTGGACCGTGAGTTCAGCATATTTGACAACGAGTTGTTCGGTGGTCTCTGTGAGCTTCAGAGACAAACTCTCGTTCTCTCTGATGAGGTCTGACAACTTCTTTCTGTCCTTGGCAACCATCTGCTCATAGGCAAGATCTTTGCCTTTTAACAGGTTGGTCAAACTGTATTTCACAGTTTCAGTGTGAGCAGTGAGTTCACTCACATTCCTTTTCAGGTAGTGCACTTCATCCTGTGCACGAGAAAGGGCCATGTTCACCTTGTATCCGGTGGGAGGAGTCCCGAGAAGTGAAGCGCCAGCTCCAATTCTCTGGTTGTTTCCACGGTACATATTAAATAACACTTGTGTAGTTTTTAAAAAGAATGATGGTATCTTTAAAAAGGCTGGTGGGATGCCTGTAAATAGGCTGGAAGCCTTGATAAAGGCTGTTTGTTTGTTTCCCGGTTAACGACTCAATGTGGTCTTTGAAGAACGGTGATATATCCATCATAAGGCTACTTAAGTCTTGTTAAGGACAAACATCGCTGACTAGTTCTCTCACAAAAAAATATGCAGTGCTCAGTTCTGTGGTCAGAATCGCAATGAACAGAAGAATCTAATTTCTATGGAACTTGAAGATTCCATTCCATTCCATTGTCATAGAGTGGACTCCCAGACAACGGAATTATTTATATATATATATACATACATACATACATACATATATACACATATACATATATATATATATATATATATATACATATATATATATGTATGTATACATATATATGCATATATATATATACATATATATCTGTATATATCTATTCTTATCCCACATGCTACAGTTGTACAGCAAATTACGCATGCGCACAGCGGGCTCGGCCTATCCTAACTGGCGCATGCGCACTTACAAATCCCCAGAACGCGCAGCGTCGGTGGTGGCTCAGGTCAGTTAGTTCTGTCGAGCAGCCGTCCACGCAGCGATATATATCCCATTTTCTTAAATTAGCCACTTTAAGCTTCGCGATACCGCCCCCAGTAGCAGCGTCGGTACGGAGCCGCCAGGCCGGGACAGAGACGGAGAGAGAGGCCTCGGCCATGGAAGCGCTCGGACCCGGTAAGACATACGTGGAAACGGAAAGCGAGCAGCGGGGGGAGCGAGCCGTGTGTGCACCGATGTCGCGTCACTGGGCACCGCGGCTGCAGCGAGGCCTCGAAGCCCAGACGGGAAAACAAACCGAGGCCCAGACCGTGTGTGTGTATATATGTGTGTGTGTGTGTGTGTGAGAGACTTTATTTACGCCGAGCGGGAGCCACGTTTTGCGCCTGTAAAAGGAGCGTTTAGGTTTAAAACCGGATACCCAGAAACGTCTGCGGCGTTGTATCGGCTCTGAAGCGCGCACGGCTCGTCGTGTCGGGGCTGGCATTGTGTGAGTTGGGATTTAACTAGGACCGTCCGTCCGTCCTTCCTTCCTTCCGCGTCGTGGTGTGTTTACGTTGTTCGTTGGCGTCGTGTTTCGCGGTAACCTCGTACTACGACCTCATTACTACAACGGGGACGCGTATTATCGTCGAAATGTTATGAAATATTCTACCTGTATAAAAAAAAAACCCGCCTCGCCAAACCATCTACGTTTGAACCATCGCCATCAGGAACAGCGCGTCTCTGCGTCCATGACAGCGATGGGTGGGAAACCAAATAAACGCCAAAACAAACGCTCGTGCACACGAGCCGACGTGGGCGTTTTGTGACAAGTAGCGTTAATATACTAGTTTAGTGCGAGACTGTCATTGGCTCCGGTGCCATGCGTCCGTTCGAGCACAGCGGGGATGGATGGCGCTTCTATCGATCCGATCTGCAGGCCAGCTCCATGTTATTCCTCCTTAACACAACAAAGGCACTTATATTGCAGCGATGCAGTAATCTGACGGTAACCCACGCGAAGAGAAATCCGCCGTGCATCTGTGCATCCAGCGATAAGACGCATTTTTATTGTTTACCTCACCCCCCCCCAATGCATAGATTCATTGTGTACGTGAAACACGCCTCTGCATACATGAACACATGAGTGCAGGTTGCAAAGCTGCTCCCGTGTTCTGGCCGAGAAATGCAAGAAATTGTTTATTTTTTTTGTTTCACGTGCACACACATTCCTCGCATGCTCTTGAGGAAATGCGATGGCATTAAGAAACCGCAGAGGAATTTATATTGAAGGAGGAAATTGGCTTTGGTGAATGTTTGCATGATGTGTGGCCGTCCGGCAGCATGTTTTGGAGGTAACATCATTCACAAGTGTGTATGCGTGGGCCACATACAATCAGTGCAAACCATCAATCGCTCAACTCTGATGACATCAGCTGCTGCATTGCTAAATTCACCTGGTACTTCTAGGATTTCTCACAAACCAGCTGCATCTCTGAGGGTTTCTATAAATAATACAATATATATTTCCCGTAAAGGCTGACAAACCGGGACACTTTATAACAGGTCTTGTTTCTAGTACCAGTGACTGACCTCTTACACTCGTTGGCTGATACTACGATGCATATTTCTAGCAAAACAGGAACGCAAGGGATTCGGTATGCCAAACAAGTTTATTTTTAACTAACTTACTAGACTGTGTCAAAGTGTCCAACACTTAATTCAACAATCAGCTGAGTGTTTCACGAGTGATCGGTGCACTCTTTCTTTAAAGGTGACACATTACTGTTAGTATCTGGCAGCGCCAATTGGTGTTCAAATAGCATTTGAAAGGTTATTGACTTCTGGTTTAGTTGTAAGGAATATCTTTAGCCACATTGTGCCTTCACATAAGCTTCTTAATTCTAACTGTTTAGGTACAAGTGCTGCTCATAACTGAAGCGCTAAACCAAGACGCATAGATACGTCACAGGAAAAGAGTGAGTTGAGGCCGACCGACAACATTTCTCTGAAGGTGGAATAAATCTAGCCAGAGATGGGACTGCTCATGTTAAAATTGTAATGAATTGAGCCAAAACTTGGAGATTATTCTGAAATATATACAACTCTTCAGCATGCAGAGACTGGTACAAAACAATGTTTAAAAATAACTATTGACTTTAATTAGCTGTAACACATGGAAATGATGATGCCGATCTCAACATGATTAATGTCACTTAGACGCGTTATTTCAGCATTTCTTTGCTGATTGGATCCAGACTTATTAGTTGCATATCAACACCAAAGAATTAAACTTAATAATTCCTCCCTGTGAATGCGCTCTGCCTCTTTTACGGGCCGGTGAAGTACCGTTTTTTAATCCAGGTGATTTTGAGGTGTGGGGGGGTCTGCGTGCTCGGTGCCGTTAGTCTGTGACTCATCTGCAGGCCTTCATCCTCATGCTAAGCTGAAGCCCAGCTGTCTCTCTGCTTGATAACACTGTTTACCAGGGACATACGTAGCTCCGCCGCGCTCCGCAGTGCACAAGAAGTTACCGCTCGCTCATTAAATGTTGGCGCATATGAACACAGTTCGCTTTCTTTCTAACATTCGGTTGGTGTTCGATTAGTATCCAAGCTGAGGGACCTGTTTGGCTCCAGTGCAACCGTCGTTTTCTGCGCCGTGAAAAGCTCATTTCACTTCCGCTGTGACTCTGAAGTATCTGCAGCTCCGCCTCACTTGGAGCGGGAACATCTTCTAGATGGATCTAATGTTCCTCTGCATATTTGTAACTGTAATTTAATTTCTCTGAAATGTTGGACGGTCATGTGATCTTCCTCTTGATTCGCCAAACATTCCCTGGATTCACTTTCTCATCTTTTAGATTTTTTTCATAGACTAAACTGTTGATTTGTGGAAAATAATCCGAAGATCAATGATATTAAACTGCAGCAATGCATTCATCATCTGATCTGCTGTTTGTCAACTATATGTAAATGTATCCTTTCATTTTCACTTTCTATTTGTGCTCGTAAGCTCAATCCGAGACGATGTTAAATGAAGAAAATCAATAAACCCAATCAATTTCAATTATGTTAGAAATGCATTTAGAGCTTGGACGTATTGTCTGTTTATCCACCGGTTGAGTGACCGAAAAACAATTTTGTCACTGTTTTGATAATCGAATTAATCATTTCCACCATTATTTTAACGGCAAAACCGCCAAACACTTCCTACTTCCAGCTGTTTCGTTGTGAGAATCCGCATGTAAGAGTGAATAGAATATATTTGGGGTTTGGACTGCCGGCTTGGACAAACCAATATTCAATTTGAAACAAGTTTGGGCTTCAGGACATTTAAAACATTTTATGTTTGGAAATCCAAGTAATTGTCAGTTGTAGTCAAGTGTTCAGTTGAGCCTCGGTTGGTGGAAAGTAAACGGCTTGTGGAGGAAGGATGAGTTGAGGCATTTCAAGTTGAGACACTCTCGTATCTAAGTGTGGTGTTGTGGCAGCTGAGGAGGCTATATTTAGATACAGCTCTTAATTTGGTGAAAGTGGAAGAGGAAGACCTAAAACTCCCAGTGCTGCTCGCCACCAGAGTACAAGTCCTTCTGCCGGGCCTGTGCACGCACCCAAAGACACAGGTCTTAGGAGTCTCTTGTGGTTTCCTCTCTAAAAAGTCCATTGAAGAGCAAATTTGTTTTTGTTTTTGGTTTGGTGGGCTTAATGTCATCCCTGCAGGCTTTCCTTTTAAACTTTCAGAATGTTCCGATTCATTCTTTTTGAAGTATTTATAACATTTTTATAGACTAAAGTGTAAGATGTCAGATAATTAGAAATTAAATTAAAAGGAAATCATATTTGTATTTGGTGTTAAGATCTTAACTTTTCTGCAGAAACCTTTAGTACAGCTGTCCTGGAATGTGCACTTTTTTTTTTTTTTGTGTGTGTGAAAGCTCAGACTTGTGTGAAAGCGTTTCGGACTGGGCTTTATTGTACTGAATTTTATTTGGGCTGCCCCATGTCTCAAGTCGAAGTGTCCCTGAGCAAGACACCTAACCCCTAATTGCTCCCTGGGCAAAATGTGAAGAAGCCATGGGTTTAAAGTGTAATGTAAGTCGCTTTGGATAAAAGCGTCTTCTAAATGACCTGTAATGTAATATTCAAAGGATGCTAACGAACCTAAAACCAGCGACAAGTGTTCCGTCTTTTTCAAAATAACGTCATCGCTCGAACCAAAATGGAGGCCTGACGGAATGCACGTGGAACCGCCAGCGTGCATTTGATACATGATGTAAATCCAGAGGAGCCCTCTGCATGGTTGTCGTTGATCACGATAAGGGTTTGTTCTGTGTGATGGAGATGGAGGGGGGGGTGATTTGGGGCCCAGGCCAGATGAGGGCATGTTAGGAAGCGATGGGGAGGGTCCCGATGGGGAGGGTCCTGATTGTCCGTGCTCTCGCGCTTCACTTGCTAACTGGAGCGTGTGGCTGCATGAAGTTCAGGAGGACCCCCCCAGTCCCTTAGCTGTCAGTTAACAATAGCTTTAAGGAGCCCCCCCTCCTACCACCAACACATGGTTATTCTCATGTGTGTGTGTGTGTGTGTGTGTGTGTGTGTGTGTGTGTGTGTGTGTGTGTGTGTGTGTGTGTGCGCGTGTGCGTGTGTGTGCGTGTGTGTGCGTGTGCGCGCGTGTGCGTGTGTGTGCGCGCGCGCGTGTGTGGAGAGAATGCATGTGTCCTGGTACAGAGCGCACCTACATGCTGCATGTAATGTGCATGCATGTGAGGCGCGCATGTGTGTAACGGCAATCCCCTCCATATGGCCCTGCTGCCGTCTGTCTGAAAAGGAGCTCGGTCTTTGTCTCTGCTTGAAGGGTGGGCGCCCTGTGTGTCTGGGTGGAGCTGGGGGGCGGGCCGAAGGATAATTGGAGGTCATTGTTTCACCGGCCTCTTGTTGACCCATGTAGGTCAGGGGCCGGGGTTCCGGATCAATCTGACCGCGTGTGTGTGTGCGCCACTGTGTCTGCGAGGCCCTTTCGGTGCATTCAAGCAGGTCTCTGATGAGATGGTTTGCAACGAGCTCGCGGTTCTCGGCGCCCAAAATCTCGTCTCAAAGTCTGACATTTAATAAAGAGATCAACGCACACTCAGCGTGGTGGCCACGTTTTTTTTTTTAATAAGTCTGAAATTGGTACCAAAAAATGGTTTATTTTGAAGGGGGTTTGTGGAAAGGAATCCATGCATTTCTTTTTTCAACATGCTGGAAAATGGAGCCCTCACTGAGAGGAGGAAACACACGAATGTTGTAGATATTTAAAATACAGACTTTACTGATGTGCTCACTCAAAGAAGCCATTAAAGGCCCAAATACTTAACGTATCCCCGTTCCTTATTACTGCACTAACCACTGTTCTTCCTGGGTTTTGAGATGGTGGTGACTCTCTTTTCTCTCTCCAGGCCCGCCCGCCCCTCCCTCTCTGTTTCAGCCTCCGCGGCGTCCCGGCCTCGGCACGGTGGGGAAACCCATCCGGCTCCTAGCCAACCACTTCCAGGTGCAGATTCCCAAGATTGATGTCTATCACTATGATATCGACATCAAACCTGAGAAACGGCCTCGAAGGGTCAACAGGTAATTCCTCACGGCGGCTTTGAGTAGAGAATGCAGGTTGAGGGGGGGGGGGGGGTTCTTAGATGATCATCTTGAGATTTGTAGCTCTTAGAAGATGTTTGTGATGCTAATAAATATGTGAATTTGGAAAAGGAAGTATTTAGTTTTTTTGGCTCACCGGCCTTCTGTCCCGGTCTTCTAGGGAAGTGGTGGACACCATGGTGCGGCACTTCAAGATGCAGATCTTTGGAGACCGACAGCCTGGCTACGACGGGAAGAGGAACATGTACACAGCCCATCCACTGCCAATTGGGAGAGATCGGGTTGGTATTTTAAACTCTTGAGCCTCGTGTCATCAGCCTTAAAAACAACGTTTTGTAAATGTTTTGTCAATTAGTGTGCTTGACAGGGTGACGTTGTTCCAATCTAAGAACCTAAATGCAATGATTTATTCATATTACACAACGAGGTGCCGGGAATTTAAATGGTTTACTGGATTAGTGTTTGTGGTTCTGTAAGAGGAAGGTTGCCAACTGGATCAGTCTGGCAGATCTGGACCAGGAAAGTGAGGCTAGTACTGATCTACTGGAACCTCTAATGGAAGATGGAGCCCCAGACCTATTAATGCACGTACATTTCTTTACCTGTTCTGTTTATAGCAATCTAGCCTTTTTTATGTCTAGTTTTTTTTTCTTACATCTGATTGAACTGTCAAGTTACGGTATTTATAAAGTTCTGCAAGTGTGGAAAAACCCCCCAGTGTTCTTGGCAACGGCACTTGTAAATACTTGACTTGACATATTGGTTCCTTAAACCAGATTTATATCGGATAAAACATTTTCTTTTTACACCTTTCCGCTTCTGGTTTACGCCAGTTGACTGTGGCTCTACGAATGTCATGTTCCATTGGGATCTTTTTGTCGTTCCAAAAAACAAATTCAATCATTCTTTGTGTTGCCCTCCTTTTGTACTTCGATCTATTTTGCCCTTCGGTGTTTATTGCCTTTTTATCTCTCCCCGTCACCTGTTGTTCAATCCATTTGCTCCCGCTTATCTTTTGTTTCATCCTCTCCCCTGGTCCTCTCCGTCTCCAGGTGGATCTGGAGGTGACTCTGCCTGGCGAGGGGAAGGATCAGACCTTCAAGGTGTCTTTGCAGTGGGTGTCTGTGGTCAGTCTTCAGATGCTGCTGGAAGCCCTGTCAGGTCACCTTAACGAGGTCCCAGAAGATTCGGTTCAGGCTCTGGATGTCATCACACGGCACCTGCCTTCCATGAGGTACCGGCACCCTCCGCCTCGCTGCAAAGACACCCATGTCTTTTATTGCTTTTCATCTTTATATTTGTCTTTATTAGTTGATTTCCGTTGTGCTCATATCTTTAAATGATTTTATCATCCTTCATACAGTACCAGTCATTCATATCGTACATCTTCCCTAGCTTGGTTGTGATGCAGGTGCCGTTTTATATAGTGACAAATCTGAGTGTTTGATGTCCTGTTTCCTGCCTCTTGCTGAGCAGAAAACAGCTTTAAACCGTCCACCGTCCATCTTTGCAACGCTTTGGATATTTCCCTTTTTTCCTTTGCATTGCTTTGCCATCTGAAGGGGCACACACACAAATCTGCATGTATAGAACAGCCAGTAGGAGGTCTCTGAAATGAACCGTGATTGGCCGAAGTATCCTGTCATGGGTTACATTTCTAAAGCCAACGGGAGGTGCAGAAGTCTTCTCTCCGACATCTTGAATTACAATATTCTAAAAGGTTATTTCTAAAAGGTTATTGCGGCTTTTTTTTGCCTCCATAATGACAAAAAATGGACTGCATGGTTCTTACCTCAGATCTAAGGGCATATTTACAGATGCATGTCAGAACTTGTATCTTTGTTAGTTTGCAAACATACTACTTCTTAAAAAGCCATCCACTGCTTTCACTGTCTAATCCTACGCAGAAACTGAAATGTGTTTTTTAGTTATTGCTCTATTTCTTGTTAGGAAATAGTTTCCATGATAAAGGCAATGCAAATGTTACCTGGCTGGTTATTAATAAATAATCCAATGGACATTTGATTAATCAAGGTTTTACGCCATTGATAGTTTTTTGGTCCATTACCTCTCTGTCTGTGTTCTCAGGTACACTCCTGTGGGGCGATCGTTTTTCTCCCCTCCGGAGGGCTACTATCATCCTCTGGGTGGAGGCAGGGAGGTGTGGTTTGGCTTCCATCAGTCTGTCCGTCCTGCCATGTGGAACATGATGCTTAACATCGACGGTAAGACCTGAGGGCAGATTTCAAATGTGAGGCTGATATTTGATGTGGGTCTTAACCGCCTGTTATAAAGAATACAACCATTTATCAACGCTTCACCTAGCAAGACCTAATGTTTGTTTGCACACAATGCATAATTAGCTACTGATTGTAGAAATGCAACTGACATTCAATCAGCTACTGCATCCTTTTTATGCTTCGACTGTAGCAGTGGACTTTTACAAATGTCCCATTTAACACCACAACTACCGTAACATAACGTGTTACACAACTTTGTATCCATAACTAAATGTTTAGCACAGCCTTGAATAAACCAATAGTCAAATTTAACTTCACGGATTTTAACAATTCACCCACTTGCAATTTATCTGTTGTCACCTGCTAAGTCAGTTGAAATTGTACAACTCTGTATGTCACAAGGCATTTTGGCACTAACATCAGTTCCTAAATCTATTCAGGGAGAGGCGGATAGTCAGCCTGTCCGCTTGACACAAAGACCAAAAACCAAACTGTCTTGACTCTACGTCAGAGCGACTCACTGTGGTTTATAATACTGGTTTGCTCACTAGATAATGTTGGTTTGGATCCACTCTGGGACATGGACGAGACTGTCGTACACATCACGTACAATACCACAGACTCATTTGGCTTGCTTGCAGTTATTGATTTTAAGACGACTGATTTGCTGAATATTATGACTGCTGTTCTTTAGTGTCAGCCACAGCTTTCTACCGCGCTCAGCCTGTGATCGAGTTCATGTGCGAGGTGCTGGACATCCAGAACATCAACGAACAAACCAAACCACTGACTGATTCGCAACGCGTCAAATTCACCAAGGAAATAAGAGGTAGGTGGTCAATACCAGAGCACGCCCATATGTATACAGACTGTTGCCAACAAGGACAAAGGGGTCAGTGTTGACAGCCATGCATGTGTTGTACAGATAGGTATTGGCCTGCAGGGAAAATGCATGCTTGTTTTTATGCAGAGTGCAAGAACGAAAGTAGCTGCACGCACTCTCCCATAATCACACTGTACACACACACACACACACACGCGCGCGCTACATAGCCGCACTACATGGCACTTGTCCTTAGCCGCGGGATGCCAAAGAATCGTGTTTCTTAAATCAGAAAATATGACTAAGATTCACCAATTTTTTTTTTAAGTATAGCTTTTATTCATAACCGTTGATATTTCTAAAATGCAAGAAAATTCTGCTTTTCTGAGCAACTCTATTCTCCCTAGTCTTCATCTCTGCTCCTGGCATTGTAAATAACTCCAAAGAAAATAATGGGATTTTATAGCTTGTGTTGAATTTTGTCTGATTATATTCTAAGGCAGAGGAGTGTAAGCCTTCTAAATCCTTTATTTGGGGCTGAGATGTGACAAATGTGTAAAGGGAAGCTGCAGAGAGCTGAACGGCGTCCACAGTTGGCTTCCATGTCAGAATTTGACTTCATCATTTTTTTGAAAAGAAGAATATAATTCCATCCTGCTAAATTTCTCTCATTGAAAATGCAGTTGGTAGAAAAATGTCTCTGCGTTTGTGACGGTTTGTTCTTGTACCGTTTTAAAAAGGCTTGAAAGTTGAGGTCACACACTGTGGTCAAATGAAGAGGAAGTACCGTGTGTGCAACGTGACACGCCGACCTGCCAGCCACCAGACGTAAGTGACTGCTCTCGTCTCCATCGTGTGTCAGCAAAGACTCATCGTTGTATGTGTACGGAAATGTACTACACAGTCGCAGCATTGTATTTGTATTCACACACTGTAGACTTTCTGCGTGCTGCGTTCACATTTTCCGTTTATTCACAGGTTCCCTTTACAACTTGAGAACGGCCAAGCCATGGAGTGCACAGTAGCACAGTATTTCAAGCAGAAGTACAATCTGCAGCTCAAATATCCCCATTTGCCCTGCTTGCAAGTAGGACAGGAACAGAAGCACACCTACCTTCCCCTGGAGGTGAGACAGAGGCTGCTTTGACTATTGAAATAAGGAATATATTTGTTTTAGTTGAGGGTTTGGCCATTGCCACCAATGATAACAATTTCCTTTTTTTAAATATTAATCCTGGGATCCCATCTGATTTGATTTAAATTAAATTTCATGTAATGTTTCTCCCTGGTCTGTAGGTCTGTAACATAGTAGCAGGCCAGCGCTGTATTAAGAAACTGACAGACAACCAGACATCCACCATGATCAAAGCTACAGCGCGCTCCGCCCCCGACCGACAAGAAGAGATCAGCCGACTGGTGGGTGCGGTTTCCCTCTTGGGGCGGGAGGAAGAAATGGCATTTGGTTGACTTTACTTTCAGGGCTAGTCATTTTTTAGTTCTAGCCGCGGATATGAACTCAGGCTTAGTCCATGAGCACCAAGGTACAATTATTGTAATTGTTGTTATTTTTTTGTAACGTGGCCTTTCAAAGTGTCTTTTTGATTACACGCCTGTTTATAAGGTAGCTTAAAAACGAAGCTTTTGTGAAGCTCCGTCCTGGGTGAAGACTAGAAACTGCGCTGTCAGTGCTGACGTTGACTTTTTCTTTGCTTATAACATCATTGTGCGCCGTTATCTTTTTCATTTTGTCACTGATGATGCTACCCGTTATGCAATCGCAGTATAAACATGAATGTACAGTTACTCTCACTATGTTGAGAATGTCGTAGAAACCACTTAGCCTCAGTCTTGCCTTCATGCCAAATACAAAAGAAATTCACCAGACAAGTCCGTATATATATCTTAGTACTGGTTCAAGTCCTTTTTATTTCTCACCCTCATTTGTGTTCTATTATCACTTCTTCCTCTGCAGCCACAATCCAACTTCTCATATACTTTCTCCTCTTTTCCCCAGGTCAAAAGTAACAGCATGGTCGGGGGCCCGGACCCCTACCTCAAGGAGTTTGGCATTGTGGTACACAATGACATGACTGAAGTGACAGGGCGTGTGCTCCCGGCGCCCATGCTGCAGTACGGGGGCCGGGTGAGTACGGACACCGGACGGGACTGTGGCAGGGTGAGTACCGGACGGGGGGTAATCTCAGGGGTAGCAAGCGTGACTGGGATTGTACACGGTGGGGGACATCAGAGTGAATGCTGGGAAAATGGAGGGAAGTTCCAGGTTTGCAGTGGTCATTCACTGAGCTGGAGAAGTGTTAAATACAACATAACCTCAAACAGCAGAGATCCAAAGTGGGAGGGGCTTCCTCGGGAATGTGTGCTTGTAAACGTCCAGTGAAAAGTGAATGTCTCCTTAGATGCGTCCATTCACAGGGCCATCGAATCTGTTACGTTTGCCACTTAAGGCAAAATCTTAATTAGTCTTTTAGTAACGATACAATCTACACATTAATTTAACTCGCTCAATTTTAGCTTCACTGCTCATTCTCCATGGCAACAGTGGCTGAATCTGCATTGTAGTATTGTAGCACCAAACCAAACACATCTTAAAAAATATGTATGTAATATTTCCAATTTTTGGCAGTATTGAGATTAAAGTTTTTTTGTAACTGGGGACGATTGCATGTGCTGCCAACATGGGGACAATAAGAAACTTGAATTGTTCTTCATAGATGAGATTAAAGTTTATGTTTCCCTGCGGGGTGATTGGTTCAGTCTTTTGGCCACATTTTCCCTTTTTATACCTTCTGCCAAATACATTTGTTCTTCACAGATTTACAGAAGATATTTAAAATGTTCTTTTCTTTTTATACGCTCTTGTATTCCAATGCCACGCTCAATTCCCAGTATTAGCTGCTTGATCTATACTTTGGTTGATCTACCCGAGATCCTATCTCAACACTCCTCCTGAGAGGCTTGGCGGTTGGCCTGCTGGGTTATCGGGTCTAATCGGCTTCCTGTGAAATGCCCTTAAATGCAGACTGAAAGCTTTTCGCATCTCCTAGATCCCTCGTGAGGAATGAAACTAACATTTATTTGAAATTGGCTTCCTAATGTTATTTGAAAATGTAGTTGGTTCAAAGTATTTACAATTGTTCGGCATGCGAGATGGGGGAAGCTATTTCCTGTGGATCGTTCTCTATGATCCAGTTTGGATATTATTGACAACTACCCGTTATCATTTATTATTTAGTATTATAGTTCCAATCCTGTGACTGATTATATTAAATATTTTAGACGGTGATGTAATGAGACAGAGAAGCTCTTTGGAGAATAAAAGCTCCTTAATGGTCTTTGCCAAATCTTGTTAACTTAATTGAAAGCCGCCGCTCTTTGAATTTGTATTCACTATCGCACTCAAACTACGAGCACTCAACTAATGACAAGTCTCCTATTAGACTTCCCTCCTTTGATGTTCATCGTCAGGACTTGTGATAAGTTCTAAACCAGGATATTTATTTACAAAAATATGATGAACATTTCTCACTGCTGAATAAGTCACACCGAGCTATGCACAAGTGAACACTTTAGCTCCTGGGTGGGCTTGTAATGCGTTGTCTTTGTCTGTTGCTGATGTGGGGGTTAGGCTGTAGCATCTTCTGTATTGGCTCATCCAACCGGGGGGTTGACTAAGAGGTTAGGGACTCTCTCCGCAGAATAAAACCGTGGCCACGCCCAACCAGGGCGTGTGGGACATGAGAGGGAAGCAGTTCTACGCCGGCATTGAGATCAAGGTCTGGGCCGTGGCCTGCTTCGCCCCACAGAAACAGTGTCGAGAGGACCTGCTCAAGTGAGTCACGCCGTCACCTGTTTCCACGAGGGGTCCTTTCCCAGAAATGCTCAGAAAACCAGCTTCGTCCGCGGCTCCGTAGAGTGCAGCAGGAAAGAACCCTAAAATCATTCTGAAAATATCTTTAAAAATGCTGAAATTTCGCTGTTGCTCAAAAGTGGCTCAATTGGACTAATTAACGTCAATTCTCTTCTGTACATTGTGTTCAGTGCTAGTTATCCTGTTAGAATGCAAAGACAAACAAGGTGGTAGCATGGTAAACATGACCCCATCCTAACGGTAGTATGTTAGTGTTGTAAACACGTTAGCATTTAGCTCACAGTCTGAGTACAGCCTCTCCAAGCTGCTCGTGTCACGTGGTAGATTGTATTGATTTGTGTACAGTTAATAATTCTTTCTCACTGCCACGTTGACATTTTGTGTGCTTGTCGTGCCGATTTCTGATGAGCCAAGTCATGCTTTTCAATAGGAGCTTCACTGACCAGCTGCGGAAGATTTCCAAAGATGCAGGGATGCCCATTCAAGGCCAGCCCTGTTTCTGTAAATATGCCCAAGGAGCCGACAGCGTAGAGCCCATGTTCAAACACCTCAAGATGTCTTACGTCGGCCTGCAACTGATTGTGGTCATCCTGCCCGGTAAAACACCAGTCTATGGTAAGAAACTGACATGTGACTATTTAGCATCTGGGGTTAATTGTGCAGTGCTGATACATACAGATGGAGATTCCTTGCTTTGTTATTAAATGAGGATAGCATATTGTTTTTTATATTGAACGTCCGTATTTGTTTACAGCTGAGGTGAAGCGGGTGGGCGACACCCTCCTTGGCATGGCGACCCAGTGTGTGCAGGTGAAGAACGTAGTGAAGACGTCCCCTCAGACGCTCTCCAACCTGTGCCTCAAGATCAACGCCAAGCTGGGAGGCATCAACAACGTCCTGGTGCCTCATCAGAGGTCAGCATGGACTTCAGTTACTTCTTGGTTTTAGAATGTTTCTTGGCTCTGAATGTTTTCGACGGGTCTGATGCTTTCTGAGCGCAGATAGTTCTGGTAAACCGCCGTACGGAAGAGCAACCCAAGTTGAAACCTTAACCTGCGTGATTTGCATATCAATGTTTTGTCTGCTGCTTAGATTCTGAGAATTTGAGTCAGTACTTGGTGTTTGTATGACGTTGTCAAGATCATTTCTTTCAGAATTCTCCCAAAGCTAATATGGTTTGGAAAACCAACCCCAAGCACTCGAATCCCATCATCACTTTTCAATCATAAATTACTTTGCCGTTTTCAACGCAAAGTTCCCGGGCCTAAAAAACACCTAGTGCTAGAAAGTTAAGGGCCTGTAATGCAAATCAAATTCTTTTTTTTTTTTTTTTTTTGTGAAATGAGGCGTGATTTAAAAACCTTCATTCATCCAGAGGGAAATTCCTTTTGCATCACTTGTAATTTAAAAACTGGGCAGAGAGGAAATATAAAGGTCCAAGATACCATCGTTTTTGTGTCGTGTTTTTGGTTCAGGCCCTCCGTGTTCCAGCAGCCTGTCATCTTCCTTGGTGCAGACGTCACACATCCTCCAGCGGGTGATGGGAAGAAGCCGTCCATCGCGGCGGTGGTGGGCAGCATGGACGGCCACCCCAGCCGATACTGCGCCACGGTGCGAGTCCAGACGTCTAGGCAGGACATATCACAGGTAACCGCGCTGCATGGGATCACCACCCTTATGTCGCTAATAAAAGTGAAAGTTACAGTTGAGTTCTACTTTTTCAAACGCATCACTTCGGCACTATCCAGTCTGACTTGGAAATGCTGTCGCCAACAACGAATGTAAATATTTGCATTTCAGTGTCTCCCCTTCAATCTGAGGTTTACTTTGTTTGTTTTAACAGTGCCCCACTCCTCCAACCAATCAGGAGCAACTCTTCAGCCAGGAGGTGATCCAAGATTTAACCAATATGGTGCGAGAGCTGCTCATCCAGTTCTACAAGTCCACTCGCTTCAAGCCCACACGCATCATCTATTACCGCGGCGGTGTGTCTGAGGGACAAATGAAACAGGTGAGAGATCCACTGTGTTTCCCAACCAGTGATCTACTGGGCATCAATGGCAGCTGTGATTTCCTTTTGAGTGGAGGCTGTTAAAACCTGGATGTACTTGGGACACTTTGCAGTGTTCCAATTACTTCACAGCACTTTTGTTTTTTTAGCATGAATACAGTTTAGTCCTAAATTAAAGATGCTGCTGTGGCGCAAAATAACGGCCAGAGCAAAATGATATGATGCAGTAATAGTAGTATATCAAGGCAACGTAGAATACCTCTCAAGTGTGTGTGCGTGCGTGCGTGTGTGTTTTTGTTTGTATTGCCAGGTGGCTTGGCCGGAGCTGATAGCCATCAGGAAGGCTTGCATCAGTTTGGAGGAGGATTACAGGCCGGGCATCACCTACATCGTGGTTCAGAAACGTCACCACACTCGCCTCTTCTGCTCTGACAAAGCTGAGCGGGTCAGTAGCCGTTCACGTTTGTCAGATGTGCAGTATTTCGTGCTGTCCAACGCTGTATCGTGCGACTCTTGATTTAAAATTAAACTGATAATCCACTGCAGGTGGGGAAGAGCGGTAACGTCCCAGCAGGCACCACGGTGGACAGCACCATCACACACCCGTCCGAGTTCGACTTCTACCTGTGCAGCCATGCTGGGATTCAGGTGAGGGTCTCACACACTAAACGTCAAAGTTTACTTTTTCAACATAAAAATAAAAAAATAGATCTCTCTTGCTGTTAAGTGGTGCATGTACACAAAAAGGGTATAAACTACGGCTGCGGCCCAGTATTTCAGTGGCAATTGTCTTCAAGGGTGGAGCGATATTACCACGGTAATGATGCTTAGTGAAAATAAACGGCCTAAATTGGATGCACAAATTTGGCTCATTTAATGATGAATCGGACTAAAAATCCGCATTAAAGAAAAACTTTAATTTCCACCCTTTATTCTAAAACAGAACCGCAAATTCATATTGCAAAAAGACTTGAGAAAGTCCACAAACAGGTTGCTCCTTGAACATACATACAAGAAAAATACAATACGATAATCAGAACTTGTTCCCTACACTCACAGACGCACATACTCACACGTACACACTCAAACACACCCCCATGTTCACTTAAAGCTTATTCATTCAATTATTACCATCAGTGCAAGTTAAGTAAATGTATACGTCACATCTAAATACAGCTAAAAAATAGCCAAGTGCTATGAGATGAATTTAAAATGGCATTTAAAAAGTACAACCCACACAAACCTATTTTTCAACAATAACCGATATGGGACAAAGCACAAAATATATACATGACAACAGATTGAAAAATAAATGGTCCAAAAAAGGCGAGTAAATAAAAACGTGTCTTTAGTCTTGCTAACTGCTTTACTGCCCTTATTAGCGAGCTAACGCTAGCTGGATGACGAGTAAACAGCATCTCAAGGCTCCTTGCGCTGCTGGCTGCTCTTTCCTCTACGTCAGCCCGGCGTTTTTTTCCGCTCCGCGTGCATCTCCGCAACTCATCGAGTGACGTAATAACCGCGCGACACGACGAATCGATAATTAAATTCTACGGCCTCTGCATCATCTGTTGCGGCCCTTTCGTCTTCCCTCAGGGAACCAGTCGCCCGTCCCACTACCACGTCCTGTGGGACGACAACTGTTTCACTGCCGATGAACTGCAGCTCCTCACCTACCAGCTGTGCCACACTTACGTCCGCTGCACGCGCTCCGTCTCCATCCCAGCGCCGGCCTACTACGCCAGGCTGGTGGCTTTCCGAGCCCGCTACCACCTGGTGGACAAAGACCATGACAGGTGAGGCAGTCCGAAATATCTCCAGCTCCGGTTCAACTGAGATTTTGTTTGGATGCGACTCCTGTTGTTACTGCAGAGCACCATGTAGCATTTTTTTCTAACAGAAGGGTCCGATCACCTACCAGAACGCTCCACATCCTTGTTTTCTTCGCTGTTTGATTGAGGCGCTTTTCCTCCTGCAGTTTAGTGACATGATTTCTCTTCTGACTTAAACTAAACTCTGCCTCGCTCTTGTCTTGCAGTGCTGAAGGAAGCCACGTGTCGGGCCAAAGTAACGGCCGGGACCCCCAGGCGTTGGCCAAGGCAGTCCAGATCCACTATGACACCCAGCACACCATGTACTTTGCCTGAGTTAGCGGCATGTCAGCCAGTCCACCTGCGGATTCCCCTTTTTACTTCTGTCTTTTTAAATCTCTTATTTGCCCGTCTCTCTCTCTCCTGGTCCCATATGTTTCTCTTTGTTTGTAGTCTTGTCCCCTTCTCTTCACACTCACTGTACAATTTCTAAATCTGCACCAAAGTGGCTCTCTTGACAGGAGAGATGGAGGCGCGGGGCAGGGCGCGCGGGGTGGGTTGGGAGGGTATAACCTGCTGTGTCTCAATATGTCCAGCAGTTTTTTCAGTTTTATTTTATATATTATTTCAAGGAACCATCGCCAACCAGCGTTCCCAATCGAGCCGCCCTTTCAAACCAGCAATCCAGCACTGCAAACCCCGAGAGGTTTCCAATGCACAAAAAGAGAAAAACAAAAACCAACCATACACACATATACTACAAGTTGAGCCATTATTTTTGAGTTTGTTTTTTCTATGTGAATGTCTGCACTCTTGTGTTTGTAAGATACACTGAGCGAGGGAGTGGACTGGCACAATGTGTGTCAGTCAGCGCTGCTCTTTGGCTCTCCCAGCTAAGCAGGACTCTTATCTACTTTTACCTCAAAGCCCCTTCGGGCAAAATCTGTCACAAGGTCTTGGGTTTATTGGGTGGTCGGGAGGGAACTCTAAATGACAAGAGATGAAGGGGAGTCGACCTTTTGCGAATGATATATATATCTATATATATAAATTATATATAGATATATATATCTATATATATTTTCCTTTTTATGCGCGTATGTTTTAACCTTTTTTCTCCTCTTATGGTCTTTTAACAAGCGAGGTGACCTGGGTGTCCATGCCCATTACTGTTTTCCTCCCATTTTATCGAAGAATACACAGGTCTGTGCGTGTGCGTGCGCATCTCTGTATATACGTGTGTGTGTGTGTGTGTGTACGCGTGTGTGTGTGTGTGTGTGTGTTTCATGACAGGCCACTGAATTGTAAAGGGAAATCAAGGCGATAACTGCTGTAAATGCATCAGATTTGTTGTTTTTATATTCACACATACAGTACATATAAGCAGATATTTACATCTATAGAGCAACTTTGAGACATATGACTTAATCAGGCCTCGTAGAGGCTGCTGTGGGTATTTGTAGCAGCTCTGGGTCACTTGTTCATTTGGAATGCTTTGAGGTGCATTTTTTTTTTTTTTTATGGGATTTGCACATTTAGGAGCCAAGTGCTCTGTTTGTGCTTAAAAACATATATTAGATCCCAGAAAAATGCAACTGAATCCCATTCCAGGGGGCAAGTGAAGGCAGGTCTGGCCGTAGCCGTGGTGACGGAGGTCTGAAGGCATTAAACACAGAGTATGGTCTTTATCAGCCCTGCTGTCTGTCTGAAAAGCAGGATGTTATTTTTCTTTGGACCTGATTATCTGAAAGATTATATGATGACACTGCTGGGCGTTGCTTCTCATTTTGTTTTTGTTTTTTGTTTGTTGTTCTAGATGTAGTATCGGCCGGAAACCAACGTATTTTTTTTTTTTAGGTCTCCTTTGCTAATATTGGCCAATTCATTGCACTGACCCGGGACGCTAGGCAAGCAACAGAGGGCACTCTCAATCTCTCTTAACTTTATGCATTTATACATACGAATCAACAAAGCAGATTTGTAAAAGTTTAATATAAGATGTTTTGTGGTTATCTTAAAAAAAACAGACAAAAAAACCCAGTGGTTTAGAATTAGTAGTTTGCCATGGATGTTGTTGTTGTCGTTATCGTTGTTGTCATTGTTAATATTGTGATAATTTTATGGTGAGCAGCAAAGCCAGTGATATAGTTACTAGTGCGACTTCAGGAACAGACCTCAGCAGTTGAGCTGCAGGTTAGGACGTAGAGCTTTGGAAATAGTTTTGTAGCATTCTGGCTAACGGTGAGAAGAAGTAGACCCCAGGATGGACGAGCTCATGCTTCCTCTGCAGGTTCTGATGCGAGTGATGAACACACCGGCCTGCCGCTGTGTTCATCACTCGGCTGGTATCGGCTGGGCGGGATCAGATAGGTGGAGACAATCTGGGATTGTAATCCGTAAGAACCGAGATTGAGGGGGTTTGTTTTAAAGAATGATTTGCTTTGGGCAATGAGTTGAATTTTTAGACTTTAAAAAAAAAATGGTTTCTTACTCTTGTGTATTTGAAATATACCCACCTTAAAATCTCTATGACAGTGTTTGTTTCATGTTTTTAATGCATTTTTAACACTGGATGAAATGAATTGACAATAAGCATAAGCACTGCCCGTGGACGCCCCGTCCCCGTCCCCCTCTGTCCACTGCTATCGGCGGTGTGCTGTGGGGACCGTTGCGCAGGTGGAGCCCCCTTGGGTTGTGGTTGGGCGGAGCGTTTGGAGAAACGGTCGACGTGCACGCCTCGTCAGGAGGGGACCGCTCAGTGGAAACCCTTTTGTAATAAACCACCCGTAAAGCAGCAGGTTTACTATGAATGAGTTTGAGCGCCCGCCTGCTGAAGGCGTGGGCGTTGGCACAGACAGGACCAGGGGAGCAGGATGGGGAGTCGAGGGGAACGGGACGGCGTTGTCCAGGCATTGCATGCAATAAGTTATATTCCCTTTTGAAAAGAGGGGGTGGGTGGGTGGGGGGGGTTTAAAACGTGCACTAATTTCACAGAGCCACGTGGGCTATGTTGGAACATTCATGTGGCATCTAAGACCGGCAATGATTTGACATTTTTTAGTCCTGTATTTGATCTTTAAACTCGTCCGTCAGTGTGATAACTGACCACTCCCTTTTCTGTTTGTAACATGACATTGCAAAGCAATATTTACCCAGTTGTCATTTTGAAATGTGGAAAAACAAAGCTATAATTCTCATTGTGGTCGTTGCTCTCTCACTATTGTGTATCCGTATCTTTAATTCTTTTAATTGTTCTGTTTATTTTGTATTCTTTGCTTGTATCAATCAGTGGGAATGTGCATTTGGTGGAATAGTTATTTAGGCTTTAGACCATTTTCATTAAAGTAACAATTAAGACTTTGCTCACCTGCATGCCAGAGTATGGTCCTTTTTTTTAAAATAAAAAATAAAAATAAAATAAACTTTTGGGGAATCATATTTATTAAGAGAGGTTAAAAAAAAAATAAAAAAACTTCTGGGAGGGAGGGAGGGGGGGGGGTTGAATGTTTATCAATTTAGTGGGACTGTTTTAGGTTAGCAATATCTGTCAAGTGTCTTACACGGCGCTTTTTAAAGATTCCTAGACAAATGTCATTGATTTGGAAGGTACATGCTCTTTTCTGAGGGGAGGGGGCCCGGCTCTTCGCATCGTGTCCATATTCAAACGAGGTACTTTCTTCAAACGTGGACCCGTTGGAGGCCGAACCCCTCTCCTCTCTGCCAGGTTACCGTAGCGAGTGTCCACTTTGTCCCCTCGTTCCTGGTTTGTACCCGCGGCCAAGCCTCATGATGGGGACGAGGGGCTCTCCTGTCTCCAACTCTGCAGACCCCTCACAAATGCACTTCCTCTTTGTGAAGGGGTCCCCATGGCATCAAGGGAGCAGGATTACCTCTTTTTAACCTTTTTAAAAACAATCCCCAATTCTTTCTGTGACCCAATAGAGAGAGCATGAATTATTTTGAAATTCCTCTCACTTTGATATATTGTTATATCTTATCGGATTTGTAATTTGACATTGTGTATTGTGTAAGTTGTTTTACTTTTGTTTTCCCCCTTTGGTTCCTTTTGGGGAGGGGGGGGGGTTGTTATAGCTCTGCTCTGTTAGTTTCATTTTTCTTCTGCTAGTGGTCTCTGTGAGTGTCTGACAGCAATAGAATCATAGAATTGTAACATTCCATTTCTGTGAATGGAACGCTCCAATTCTATGAACAAACGGAACCCTTTCTGACCCGTGTGAGGGGGGCCGGGTATGTTCTCGCTACGCCCCCTAACAGAGAGCCCATCACTTGCTGTTGTTGCTATTTGTGACATTTTGAAATACTTTTTTTTTTTTTTTCTTTTCTTTTCTTTTTTTTAGCCTGCAGGGAATTCTTGTGTTACTGTGCAAAGTAATAAATTGGTATTTTATGCCTACTGTAGCCGCTGTGTTCTCGTCATTGATGGGACTCCTACAGTATGTCCTGATGTGCATGTATCTGGTCACTAGATGGCATTCTTCACCAGGTACGGTAAACCAATCCCTCCGTTACCAAGAACGGTAAAACATTCATGATCTGTACGTTTCCTCACACCTGGTCATCTTAGAACAGCTGAACGAGGCGCGACGATATCCCGTTGCCGCTACAGGCCCGTGTTCTGCTCTCTGATCAGTGCATGAAGTCGCGCTGAACTGCCTTTCAAACCGAGTCGGTGTGCGGGCTTGAGGATCTCTGGTCTTCACCACACTAGAATGCCGGCGCTCGAACCAGATCATTCAAGGGATTTCCAATGAATTCATTATTTTCAATACACAATCCCACGTGGTGCTGATAATATATCAACTGTGGTGTCGTCCATTCCCGTCTCTAAAGCCATCATTGGTATGTGTCAACCTTCCTTTGCTTCCCTTTTGTGTATCATCCCGTCTGCTCTCTCGTTTCCTGTGTCCTGGCTGGTTGTCATGACCACCGTTACCAAGGAGCGCAGAGGCCACAGAAGAAAGGAAACCCGAACCTCGGATCGTGATGCCATGATATTTAATTCATCGGCACGGTTTCTGTGTAACGCGGGTTGAGCAATGGCGCTCTCGGATAGGACGAACATTTCAAAATATGAAGACAAAAGAGGTGCTGTCAGATCCTTCTGTTACAGCCAGGGTCTATTTTATTTTCCCTTTAGCTGTAAAGCAATAACCATAATAAATAATCTGATATAGACCAGTCGGTTAAGGTTTCAGACACAATTTTCATTTAATTGAAATTGGATAAAACCAGAAGAGTCAAGTGTCAGAACTGGCGATTCTATTACTTCCTTTGTCAATACGACACAATCATACAATTAAAAAAATATATATTTTTCTCTTTGGTCCTTAATGACTGGCTGAAAAGCCAAAGACGTTTCTCCTTTTTGATTGCAGGCAAAAAGGGGGTAATTAAGTTTGTGTGGACGCTCCTTCTAAAGCACATGTGAGTGTTGTGGCTACAAAGTGTCTAATCCTTATTGTAGTCTCCTCCCCTCCATGTTATCTGCGTTAACTGATCCACCCACAGACTGCACTCCATCCTCGGTCATCCCTCCTCACTCCTTTCTGTCACCCCCCCCGCAACGTTTTTCCCCTTTCCTGGGGTTCATTGTTGCTCACACGGGTTTGACTGTCGACCGCGTAGCTGAAGATGGGAGGCAGTGAACAGACTCTCCCCTCACCCACACCTCCCCCTACACGGCCCTGATTTGTTATCCGTGCCTTAGTCCGAAACCGGGACCGACCCACTTGGGCTGCGTTGCCACCGAAGGAAGCGGTCGAGGGGGGCGGGGGGGGCAGGGAGGAAGCTGAGCGGCAGGCTGAAGTGGCCTCGTCGAGGCTTGGACCCCGGCGCCGTTCATCAACAACAAGGAGATACTTCAGCCGGCAGCAGCAGCGTCTGATCTCTTCTGTTGGCCGTTTTCTTTTGGATTAGAGACGGATTTAAAAGACCTTCTTTCGCAAAACTTCGGTGTGGATTCTTGGGGAGGGGGAATAACTTCAAAAACCTTGGCCAGTGATAACGGGGTGATGGTTTAATTCTTTCCATGAGGACCCAACATTGGATCCCTCAACAAGCGGTATCCTTTTGTTCAGTGCGAATGGCGTTGCCGTGACAGCAGACACGAGTAGATGCTCGTAGACTTGGTGGACTTGAAGTATCTGGTTGCATCAGGGCGATCCATCTTGGTAAGGCTACACCGCACTAGAAGTGTGACACTGAAGCATACAGCGGGTCAACAATTGGCCCTTCGGATTTGAACCAGAGCTCAAGGCAAAAAGAAGAAAGGAAAAAAAAAAAAAAGTGCTTTCTCGGATCCATTTCATCAGCAGATCAATCCCACTACGGAGGCTGCCACAGGTGGCTGCACAGCCATTGGCTGCTCAATAATGCATTGACTCAAAACAAGGGATGCAATGAAGGAGAGAGTGCCTGTAATCCTTTGAAGAGGAAAAAGTGTGTGACTGGAGAGAGAAAGCTGGTGATTATTTCTGGGTAACTGATTTGAGCAGATGTTGAAGGGAATGGCTGCTGACAAAGCGCCATTGGGTCAAAGGCCGTAGGAAGCGAGTAACGCAGAGGATTGGACTTGGAATACCACAGACGATAACTAACAAAATAAGACCTTATATTTGTCATTATGGTGAACACCGGCATGCAGCTGATCAGCTTCACCTGCGCGGTGACGGGCTGGATCATGGCGATCGCCGTCACGGCGCTGCCTCAGTGGAAGGTGTCGGCCTTCATCGGCAGCAACATCCTGACCTCTGAGATCAAGTGGGAGGGCATCTGGATGAACTGCATCTACCAGACCACCGGTCACATGCAGTGCAAGACGTACGACTCCATGCTGGCCTTGCCGCCGGACATCCAGGCGGCCCGCGCCCTCATGTGCCTGGCCATCTTCATGGGCTGGCTCTCCTGCACCGTGTCCTGCTGCGGCATGAAGTGCACCACCTGCGCCGGGGACGACCGCCGCGCCAAGGCCGGCATCGCGCTCGCCGGCGGGGTCCTCTTCATCGTCACCGGCCTGTGCGTGCTGATTCCCGTCTCCTGGACCGCCAACACCGTCGTCCACGATTTCTACAACCCCAACGTGCCGACGATGCACAAGAGAGAGCTGGGCCAGGCCATCTACCTGGGATGGGCGTCCGCGGTCATCCTCATGATCAGCGGCGCCGTGCTGAGCAGCACCTGCCCCCTCCTGGAGAGGAGCGGCAGGTACCGCCGCGGCTACATGGGCCGCAGCTTCGCTAACTCGCCTGCTTTGGCGCCGGATCCCGCGAAACCCATCACCTCTAATAGCGTGCCGTTAAAGGAGTATGTATAGGAGGAGGAAACGGCAGCAAGGTCGAGAGTGGATGCTGTTAAAAACTCTTACATTTACTCAAGTTTCAGTCTGTGAATTTGAAGCTTTAAAAGGGAAATATATTTATCAACATATCCATCCTGTATTTTATATATCTTTGTAAAGTTTAAACGTTTATTTGCTGTATTGTGATTTACAGTAGTGCCTGAAAAAAGCGCATTGATTTCAGCGTCTAATCCAGTTTGACCCCTGTAATGGCTTTAATGATGGCTCGTGTTGTGAAGATTGCAGTGGGTTGTTACAGTTGATCTCCGACAGGTTCCACCGCCCCTCGATTCGTCACATAAAACCTTGACTTGAATGTGCCTTCATCAAATTAGTAAAATAAAAACTGTTTGTCCCAGCGTGCTTCACTAACTGTGGTGTAACTGTCTTTGTCCCTTTTGTGTGTCCTGGTTGTCTCAGCTGCAGACAAAGATGCCGACAATCGAGTAAGAAATGACGCCGCAGGGTCGTTATTAAATCCTCTATTCATTCCTCTTGTTCGTCACGCCGTCTAAAGTCTGGTACAAAGACACACCTTCCATCCAAGGAAGTGTCTAGGGAGATTAAAAATAACAAAATGAAAATCCAATCCTGTCCACGGGGAAAAGTCCATGTATTTGTGGATGAAATTAAGTCCGATTCAGAAGTTCAGAGTTCCAGCTGAGTCGATTTTACTCTCTTCATTGGGCCTCGATAAAAAAGGACACTTTGCAAAGTGTATCTGAAAGAAGACAGAGATGCAATTAGTTCACCTACAAATCTTTTGCGCCCCACCCTCATCGCTTACCCCGACATCTAACGGAACAACAGCCATTATAGATTTGGCAGAACGTTGGACACTCAGTTTGCATTAAAACACAAGTTATATGAACTGACATTAGATCAAATGAAAATGCTAGAGATGGCCATTTATAAAAACAACCAGTTCTGTTATTTTTGCTTTAGGATAAAAAAAATGCTGATGTCCAAAAGTTTGGTCTTTTATCTGTAGCATTAGACTATTTTTCTGAGGACTGAGAAGAAAGGCATCATTTACCTGTGATGTGGTCCTCTGCCCCGGCACGCTCCAAGGATTTCCATCTTTTGGGTGCAGATTCTAACAGAGAGAGATTATCTGCCCTCAGAGTCAGCAGCAGAGTTTTCCTCCTCACAAATCTACACAAAGGAATTTAGGTAAAAACAAACACGTGTGTGTGTGTGTATATATATATATGTGTATATATATATATATATATATATATATGCAAAATTGAATAAGGATACTGTTGCCGATAGTGTCGCTCAGCATCCTGCAGCCACTCCAGCATGTCGGCCACCGATGGGGCGGCGGCCGAGCGCTCGGTTAAGGTGGGCAGATCCAGACTTTCTGTGTTCAGCTCGTAAAGCTGGAAGACTGCCGAGACCTGTCCACTGATGGAATCTCTCACGGACTGTAGAGAAGACCTGGGTGAAGAGAGAAGATGGATGCCAGGGGTCGAAATCCCAAATGTACTTGTTGATCGTATTCAGGGACTCGGGGGGAATATAACAAAGTAGCTATGAATAATCCTGTTAGTTACCTCTCGGTAAAACAAAGAAAGTGCAAGCGAGCAATATAGTGCGATGCTCACTCTGATGGGTCAGGACCCTTGAGTGACGTAACCCAGCTAAATCGAAGCAGCATGCTAGAAGGTAGTGACTTGGAATAGGGGGTAAGCAGAGGCCCCCAGCTCATATCTGCCCGGAGCCCCTCGAGCAAGGCGAGCTCGCCCTGCAGGGCTGCATCTTCCCTGCAGACTACAGTCTCCCCTTGTGTGTCCCCACTGCCTTACATGTGCTCATTGAGTTTGCCCAGCACCGTATCCGTGGCTTGGGAGAGCTTGAAACGCAGGCGTCCCTCCAGGTCAGGAAAGTCTCGGAGCGGCGTGTTGGAGATTTGGACGTTGGACAGCGCTCGCGACTGCTCCGCCAAGTTCCCGAGGGACTCCATCAGCGGGCTGCATTCGGCCAACACGCTTGTCCACACTTTCTGGTTCTTTTCAAGAGTCTGGAAGCTTTTCCTCAGCGCTTGATGAAGTGAAGTGAGCGCCGGTTTGGACATTTTGTGTGTAGTTTTCGGTTTACCAAAAAAAACAAAGCAACGTGTTAACACCGATGGGCTCTTTGTATTCTCTCTATCCAATTTTAATCAACTTAATCCTCTCACACGTTATATAATTTAAATGTGAGGAAGTATTGGCGGCTAGCGGCGTTTATTTACACCATGCAGCGTTGCCTGAACACACTTCCGTCCTCCTGATGTCAACAATGACGTTTGCTGCTACAATTGGTCGAGAACCTCCTTCCGTGACGTAGAGGAAAGGCGAGTTGTGATTGGCCGAACGTAAGACCCCACCCCGCGCGGACATTTGAAAACGGCTTTGTGAGGAAGAGGGTTTCCGACGAAGAAAAAAAGACATACAGGTAACTTAACCTAAACTGTTGTTTATTCAATATGTATCAACAATACTTATTATTAGTCATTAAATGTCTTTGCCTGTGAAAGAAACAGACCGTAAAGCGATTCGGTCAAACTTTGATCTTACCAACTAACGTTAGAGCTAGTGACGTTAGCTTTCACTGTTAGCTTGCTAACAGTAGTTAGCTCCACTACCAGCAAGCTGCATGTCGGTTCCGTTATAAAGTGTCACCTTGCATTATGTTTGTATTACAGCGTTGTTAAGCGTCCACGGTCTGTCCTCAAAGACAATGGCTCCCAGGAAAAGGACGACCAAGCAACGGAAAAACAACCCCAAAACGGCCAAACTTGAGGCCTTTCTGGAAGATTTCGACAGCGAAGGTGATTTTATTTCACCTCTTTTCTTTCCCTGCAGTTTCTTCACCACACACGACGCTTTGTAAATCAGAATTCTGCGAAATGTGATGTATAATTTGACTCGATTCCGATGTCCCGTTTACCACCAGCCGCACGCAGACCCGCTGTATGTTGACCACAGGGTCATTTAGGACACCGATACAACTTCCACACTGGATAAATATTGGTCAATATAATTATACACGCTCACTATTAATGGTATTTTGACCGAGCTATGATCAGAGTCTGACAGTGAAAATCCAAAACAACGCAGCATTCTCTTGTTGATAAACATGAATGGCAGTAGGGTCTCTTTTGACTTTGCTGTCATACAATTTCTTGAAACTTTAAATCAAACATACGCCTCTAATGATTGGTTCCCTGTAGCAGACTAAACTCGTCCGATTGGATCCATGAGGTTTATATGTCCTTGTATCGTTACTGATGCATCGTCGTGTGAGCCAGTTTGAACTGCTATGGGTTTGTAATCTAAAACGCGTGCTTTGTTTTCACAGTGAAGACCAGAGTTGGACAAATGAAGGAGAAGATCAACCAGCTGCTGAAAGATGTCGACAACAGCTACAACATGGCGCTAATTAAGCTCCCCAAGGCTGTCAGACAAATGCCCTGGTTGGACCATTTCAGTGAGTGGACACGATTAAACACAAATAAGTCTTATTTAAATGGCGTAAAATGGTATACAGTTATTGTACATTGTTTTATCCTTTTTTTTAACATCATGAAATGAAAAGCGCTTGTCCTGTCTCTCCATAGTGTCTGAGAAACCAAAGTCCCCAGTAGTAGATGATATAACGGTGAGTTGATTATTATCTCACATCGTGTATAATCATTCAGTATGTCACACATTTCACAATCTATTTGCCCTCTGCAGACCAACCCTGTGCTGTATTAAACATTCATTCTATTCTTTATTCACATCTATGTTTCAACAGAGAGAAGAGGAAGCTGCTATTGTTGACAGCGTTGTGGCCGAGGATCATGCAGTCCTTCTGAAATCCGTCAAGAAAAGTAAGTTCTAACCGTTTTTAAGGAATTTCATTGATCTTCTGAGATATTTGACTATTTTGCCTCCATAACATCTTACACCAGTGGGGGGAAAAACAACCAAAATACACATTTAAGTGTTTATCTTAACTCTATTTGGATCTGTGGATTTCTCTTAAAGTCATGTCTACTTTAGCAGCACTTGGATACCCCAAATGGTTTAAAGTTTATACTGAGGGGTCTTCATGTTGTTTATAACCAGATTTGTGGACTATTTCATTGTATGACTGTTGATTAATATATTTATGGAGTGACATCCAGAATTCTGTCAGTAGAAACCGTTTCCTGTAGTGTATCATTACATTACATTACATTACAGGTCATTTAGCAGACGCTTTTATGCAAAGCGACTTACATTACTCTTTAAACCAATGGCCTTTTCACAGTTTTGCCTGGGGAGCAATTAGGGGTTAGGTGTCTTGCTCAGGGACACTTCGACATGGAACATGGGGCAGCCTGGACTTGAACCACCAACCTTGTGCTTCCCAGCACACCTTCTCTAACCCCTGCGCCATGACGACCCAGTCACGACGACCCAGTATCAATAACAACAAATATTTATGCCCCAGGATTGTACTACTTACAGTTCTGGAAATGTGTTCAAATTGGCACAGATTTATTAAGATAATGCTTTGTTTGCATCTCTTAACATAACATTCCAGAAAGCTCAAGTATGGACTGAACAAATAGTTTTGCTCTAATCAATAAGCAACGTTTTTGAAGTGGATCTCATCCCGTTGACTTTGTTTCCCACCCACAGTGTCAAAGAAAAAAGCAGTTGCTAAATCCAGCTCGGGGGATGAAAACACCCCAAGCACAACACGCAAGGTAATGTTTTTTTATGCTCAATTCAAACATGCATATGAGAAAGAAAACCCAGCTCCGTGTCCGAGCGCCTTATTGATCATAGCCGTACGAAGGGGATGATTGCTGCTGGTGGGCAGCCTCTTCATGTTCAGCTGCTTGTTCCCAATCCAGGGGAGAGCAACGAGGAAACCTCCAACAACGTCAAAAAGAGCCAAGGCGCTGACTATGGGGACGCAGAACAACACCGTCAGACGGTGAGCGTTTTCTTTCATCTCTCGCCACCTTTCAAGTTCAGCAGCCCGATCATGTCTGACTGACGCGCCGGTCGGGTTTCAGATCGAGCAGGAAGGCGTTGGTCACTCCAGCCAGGAGTATAATGGACTCCTCTTTGATGATCGGCCCCACGCCGCTCATTACCCCGCGCTTCGACTCAAGGTGAGCAGTCATTCTAGTTAGCAAGCGGCTTTCTGAATACAAATAAAACTACTTTTCTGCGATGAAGGATGACTGATTGGATGCGGCTCAGTTCCAATCAGTTTGCGCTTTGCTTCTGTATAGATCTGGTAGTCTAATCGTCTCGGCCCAAATTATGTGAAGAATTAAAAACATTAGAATCTCTTCCAGATAAGCAGGTGGATGTTTTAGTAGCGTTACAGTTGGTGCTATTAACTGTCATCCTGATTTTATGAAAGCGGCACCCAAACTTTTGCACCAAAGTTCTGGATTCAATCTTTAAAAGCTTTTCCTAGATCTGATCTGCAGGTGGATTTGGATTTTTCTTCTTAAAAAAACGTATTCCATTAGAGTTCCATGGCGCTCACCGCTGAAGCTCTTGTTTCCTCAGGCTCCCTAAGACCCCCGCGGTGAGGATCCCCCGCCACAAAGAGAGGGTCTACAGCATTTCGGTCAACGGCTCACCGATCGCAGCAGGAAATGAGGACATCGTCATCAACGTCCCCGTCGGCAACGGAGAGGTACGACGTTGGTTACCAGTTGGGCTTCATTGCTGTCGTCACAATGGAACATTTCATTTGCTAGTACTGTTTAGTGCTGCAACACAGTACTCTGACGTGCTAATACCGGTGAACTCTTAAGTACTCTCAGGCCTGTATTCATCGAGATTTAAACCTCTGCGTGTTATTTATTATTACGTGCCATCTGACAAGCGGGAGAACTTACCAACCAAATGTCCCGTGATGTGTTGATCCAGAGCGTTCAGCTGCTGGCCAGTCAGATGGACTCTGTGGACCTGTCCATGCTGGACGAGACCGCTCTGAGGAGCATTCGGCTGCTGCAGGTATTTTCGTCACCTCTGTAGTATCACTGCGTCCCTGTTTTTGTTAAACTATATAGTGTTTAGAAATATTTGCACATGGATTTTTTTCTAATCCTTGCTCTTCTTTCCTCTTCCAGCATCGCCTCACAACCCTGTGTGGAACGGCACAGTGACCCCAGAGTGTCTTCTGTAGACTTGTACATTACTTTAAAAAAAACAAAAAAACTTCAGTCCTCTGTGGTATCGTATGCTGTTTTTTGTTTATAAGTGAGAAACTTGGATTCACATGTTATCTTACCTTTTTATATGAATATACTGTTGTAAGATGGTCTAGTTAACAACCTTGTTTACCCAACCTTTCATTTTTAGTTGTGTATGACTTATTTTGTAGTATTGAGGGTATTCTGTCAGTGTGTTTTTAGTGCTTTTTCTTTTATTCCTATATGGATGCCTTGTAAGACTGTCAACTCTGCAATATGATTTACTGCTCATTCTCTGATTTGTAAGTACATTGTAATCTTACATTTTTGTTTGTGTGAGTCAGTTGTTATTGTTGAATACACAATCCTCCATGTACATAGATCACCTTTTGTCTGCAAAACCGATAAAGGCTGTGTGGTGGTGCTCGATCACAAATGCATCCACCCAATGATTTAATTCAATTTTTTTTAGAACCGGTTTCGTAAACATTTGTACCAACTTGTTTCCACCGAGGTGTAGCTTTGCGCGGGGACCACTAGGTGGCAGCATGTGTCCATAGAAGTTCTTTCAGTCTCTGGCACGTTCAGGCTTGTGTGCAAAATTTCAACTTCAATATTTCATTCATCCACGCGTTTTATCTAGTTTTACGTGAAACAACATGATTGTATATCTCTGGAAAAAAACAAACAATAAAACGATGGCGTGCTGCAGTCCACCGCTGATCCTTGTTTAGCTCATGATGGCAGACAGAATGACAGCAGCTATTTCCCCCCATAGCTGAACAAGCTCGTGCTTTTCCTTTATGTAAGACGTTCCTCTCGTCCTTCCACCACTTTGTTTCCTCGGCGGTTGGCAGGAAGTGGCCCCTCAGAAATCTGCACTCTGACCTTCGGGGACATCACAACGCGGCCAATTAAGAGGCTCGATAAGGTTCGTTAGGCCGGATGAGCTCGTTTGGGTTTCCACCTGGGAGGATTCTGGGTCAACGCAAACCTCGCCTCGGGGCCCGGACAGACACGTGTAACTCTTTGCTCTTCCCGCCGGATTCTCACGCGTGACGTGCTGCCGACTCCGTGCCCCCCGGTCCCATCCGTCTGTATCATCTTCACCGCTTTTCACCGGCTGTCTCTCGCCGTGCAATCTGTGTTGCAATGGTAACAAAATAAATAACCCGGCTCCACCGCCGACAGATGTTGCGGTCGGCGGTGCGTGCAGTTCAGCTCCCTCGTTAGCGGAGCACCGAGCCCTCGCGCACCTGCTCTACATATCCTAGAATTTCCCCTACTTTTGCCTCCGAATGTAATGGATCCCTTTTCTCTTTCCCCTCCGTTCTCTAGGTGGGTGGAAGATTGCCATTTTTTCTCGGATGGCTTGGTTTTCGCTAAGCACACAGGCGGTGGCGCAGTGACAGGTGCGGTATGGATGAGGCGGAATTTGAGGTCACAGAGCAACACTGCTACATAAATCATCCGCTGAGATGTTCAGGATGAGGGACCGGAGCCCGAGAGAGCGGAAGGGAGACGCACACAGCAAAGAGGGCTTTACTCACAGTAAAGGGGCTTCAACAACTCTAGTGGTTTAAAGCAGTCCAAAGAAAATGGGAATCCAAGCAGAAGCGGTCCAGCAAAGCAGCAATGCATGTTTCTATCTTTCTGATGCCACAATTATAGATGGATTACCTACAGCGCACACCCACTGCCAGGAAGATAAAACACTAAAAAAGTCTGTATGTCTTTGCATGTTGGTGCTGGGAGCCTGTTTAATACCCGCACAGCTACGATATCTGCACCTTGGTGGATGAGCTGCAGATGTTTCAACAGACCTCTGGCCAAGATGCTGCAAAGCCAACATCACTGCCAATGTTACATTTAAATAAAGTTGGATAAACGGAGATGGACACTATCTTGCTTGACTTGGTAATGAAGTGCTTCCAATATGCATCAGAGAACAAGTTGGTGACTTGGGTTCATTATACATCTGGCAGACAGAGGAACCGCCCTGGAATCATTGAACAGATTTTCCCGTTCCGTTGATCTGCACCTCTTCTCTGCAGCCTTTCCAAAGTTTGTTAAAAGTCTGCTCGACACTTTGGCAACACAACTTCAAGGACGTACTGCTTATTCAGCAATTAGTCAAAGTTGTGTTTGCATGTTGTTCATAGGGACCAAACAAATCCACCGCTAACCCTGCAAGCATTCCACGAACCAGCGCTTTCCCTCCCTTGTTCCCCAATAAACCCCACCATCGCTCAGCCCCTAACCCCACCCTTCACCACCTAACCTGTGGCCCTCCCTCATTTTGTATTCCCGAAATGCATTATCAATAACGCACGTGTCTGACACACGTATTTCTCAACAAAGGCGTTCCCTCCCCAATCTGCTGGAGCCGGTGGTTAATTGAGCCCCCCAGACCTGGGGAAGCTGCCAAATGTGCAGCCAAGATGGATGAACCTGGCACAGGCATGTTCTTCTAGAAAAATTAATTCTGTGGTGCGTCGAGGCCTCCTATGAATCCCATCCGTCAAGTGCCCCACTAATCAATTTATTCATTTGCCCACGCCTCCATCTGCCACTGTCTCTCACTCAATTCGCAGCCAGCCAGACGGGGGTCCAGACTGGTCTTTTTCTTTCATCGGTTTGTCGGCGCAAACCCACGAGAAAACATGTCGGTGAATGTTTTGAGAATTGGATGGATGCAAGATGACGGACGGACGGACGCGAGGCCCCCGCGTGGTGCATTCCGGGCTTTGTGTTCGTCTGGTGGCCAGCAGGGCCCTGATGGCGTTTTGATGGGCGGCCCCCTCTGTCGCTCGGGCCCCCTTGACGATGGGCGGGATGGAGAAGAACATCTGGTGCCAAAAGAAATCCTTTGGAAATAAAGCCTTGAAACCAGCGGGCTGCTATGACGATAAGAGGGAGGTTAACGGCGTTTGCTGATTGAAACAAACGTCTGCCAGGGATGTGGCAAAATTTAATATTGCTAAAAATCAACTTTCTCATTCCCGAAATTGTTTCTCTGCTTTTCGGGCGCGTGATATTCACGTTGCATGTGGATGCATTCATGACAAGACGGTTCAAAACAAAGCATTACATGCAAATTAACACTACAAAAACAGCCAACGTTGTGTTTAAGCCTCACGTGTAACAGATGAAAGCAGCTAAAACACTGGAAGCTTTTAAGCTATCGGTTCTTAGGAGTTTAACAGCACTTTTTTGTTTTCCCGTAATTAATTAGATGCGTACTCAGGACATTTAGGTTTTTATTATTGGTCCCCTCCTCTACGCATACTCTTTTAAAAAAAAAAAGTTTAATAACCATGAACAGTCAAGGACGCAAACAAACGTACACTTTCTGAACAGGGAGAACTGAAGCCGGCACGCAGAGGGTTTTAATGTGGAAAAGCCCTGACGGTGCAAACGTCCACCTGAGCTTCGGGCTGTCATTCATTCCGTTCGAAAAACCAGCTTTTCTTATTTGGTTAGACGAATATGAGATGCAAATATTAGGAAGGGCGACAGAGCAGGGATGAAATAAAGTGAATTCTCACCCCATTCATTACCTCGATCAGAGACAGAGAAAAGGAAAGTGACCATAAAATGAGCGGTGGAGCAGTGGCTGGGATTGCCTTTGAGAAATAATTAAAGCCTCTTTGTGATGCTCCCCAGCCTCCTGCAAGAATCCCCGTCTTCTCTATGGTCCACAATTGATGTTTGGTTTACCAGCCCCACTGTATAAAGCAGACCTTCAATAAACTATATAACCCTATTTGTGAGAGTAATACAGCCCAGTGCGGTCCTCAATTAGGTATAAATGACACAGCAAATTGGAAAATTAGGGGGAGAGGGAGGTATAATTTGCTCCAAAACAGGCTAAAACCAATTCATTAGGAGACCGGGAAGGAGACATAAAGGTCCGTTTCTGTCCTCCAAATGAGAATCCCGCTGTAGGTTCAGGTGCCTCACCGTTCACTTTGCCACATGTGTGTGTGTGCGGGCCGATCTTATCACTTATGAATAAGCATGAAATGATATATGTGATAAATGGTGTGCGGGGTTACAGGTTGCGCTAATGGGTGAGATGTGAGGAGGGAAGCTGATGGAGCCTTAAATCAGACCAAACCTGATCATAGTGGAAGACGAAAACATCCCCTAGTTAAATATGAGTAGATCATACTATGTGTGGAATCCTGTGGCCTTGCTGCAAAGGCAACTTAAAAAGCTCACTAAATGAATACATTGCAAAATATCTATAAGCTGCTCAAAGGTTGAGACGTAGGAAAAGTTATTCAAGTCAAGGTGAACAATAAAAGTGTACAAATTAAAATCCTTCCATAGCCGGTGGGTTTCTGTGTTTTTGTGCATATTCCTGGTAGGACCTTACTGACATTGGGACACGTCCTCAAGTCCGATCATTTGTGGTCAGACGTCATACGTATACAGTGACATGTTTTAACATTTCAGGTCCCCAGAGTAATCAGGCCTTTCATCTAGCGCCACAACCAGGACAGAAGAATGTTTTCTGATACTCGATTAAGCAAATGTTTGCAAAACTCCCATCATCCTCAGATGAATGCTTGGTGCTCATATGTAAACCTTCCATTTTCTCCTCAGGCACGTTGGGCAGCTTCTGGAAAAATAAAACAGAGCTGTAACTTCCGTCCGTAGTCAAGCTGTTGTCGCGACTTCATGCATCGTAGCTCCCTTTTTGAGTTTGAGAGAGACAGTTTGTGCAACGGTTCAGCGTAAAAACAAACACAAAGCCGCACTGCTTTCTGGGGTTGAGGTCTTTTAACTTTGAAAACATTCTCACATCTTTCTATTATCATTCCATATCGCAAAGATTGCTTAAAGTGTCGCTGTCATGATATTGTTGATCAGCTCTGGCTTTTGCTCGTGGTACAACATTCATCGTGCCCTCGTTTGGTGCGATGTGCCTAACACACACACACACACACACACACACACACCATAAATTGTGTGTGCTATTCTCTATCATCCTGCACAGACACCTGTTTCTTTGCTCAACGCGCCTCCTGTAGCGACTTTGTCAAGCTGTCAGAGCCTCCGTGGAGCTCACACTGTCATTAACTGCACTGCCTGAGGAAATATGATCTGATTTTTGGAAAAACAGAGAAGCAGACCAAAGGGTCACGTGTTTGGAGGACACATCGATAATGTCCAACAGACATTACAGCCTACAGCTCATAGTCTAAAAGTGAATCCACAACATGGAGACAGACGAGGAAATTAACGAGTCTTTATTCAATGTACACCTTCAGTAGCTAGCGTAGCAAAAAGGGGCCAACGCTGATCAACGAAAGTAGTTTTATCTGGAAAAAGAATTTCTTGAAAGCGTATGCCTCTCCTTCCAACCTCCATAAGTGACTTATACTGTTACACAACATGGGACCACAACTAGCTCCAAATGCAAAGAAATATGAAAAGATGGACTCTTTCCTCGCCAGTGCGGCCGCTGTCCAGATGTGTGCTTGGGAGTCTGGGCACAAAGCTTTACAGATATAAAGGTAGAGGTGATTCCATCAGTGATGTGAGTCACACACACACACACACACACACTCTGGTTTATTGGATCATTTGAAAAACACCTGTCTCTCTTGGATTCACAGCCTACATGATAAAATAAGTTTGGGGATCTTCATTTCCAGCTTCCCTTTTTATTAGATGCAATGGTGAGTGATATGATGTGGGGT